AGGCAAATAAGATACTAAGCTAGCGCTAGAGGGTAAAAAAGACCTATCTATAAAAAAGAGAGGTAATAATAATAAAGGAAAGAAGGTAAGTAATTAATTAAATAGATATAGATATATAGGTAATTATAGAATCATCGAGAAATAATAATTAAGGAAGGTTAATTAGACTAAGTATTTAGCGATATAGTATATATAATAAGCCTAGATATAATATAAAGATATATTAAGTAATAATTAAGATATCTAGGGAAGAATATAATAAGTAATTTTAATTAATTAATTGATTTATTATATTTTTATTATAGTTTAAATGCTATAAGGTAATAAAAAGTGCGTCGCATACTTAGATATATCGCATACTTATTATATATATTAATAATAATAATAATAATAATAATAATAATAATAATAATAATAATAATAATAATAATAATAATAATAATAATAATAATAATAATAATAATAATAATAATAATAATAATAATAATAATAATAATAATAATAATAATAATAATAATAATAATATTAGGGTTATATTATTAATTAATTATAATTCTTAGTTTTATATTTAAAGATATAATATTAAGAGATTATAGCTTAAGAAGATAAAAAAATAAATAATTTTCTTATTTCTTATATAAAGGTTAAAGTAATTAAAATACCTATAAAAAGCTAAACCTTTTATAATAATATAGCTAAATATAACTCTTTTATTACTATAGAAATTTAAATAGGCTATTATATTAATATTAAGTTATAATATTATATTATATTTAAGATCTATTCTTTATTATAGTTATAACCCGGCCCTTGATGGGTTAACTAAGCCCGAAGATCGTGACGAGGGGTGATTTTTCAAGGGATACACTAATCGTCCTGGGTTTATGTAGGTAGAAGATCAGGTTGCGTTGCTCTAAGCGGTGTGGTGGCCACGTCTGGTAATCTGCTCAAAGCTATTAAGTGTATCCAAGTTGTATTAATAGTTGAAGTAGCTACAACAGAAAGAAGTGTAAATAAGCGTGTACTATGTACCGGTGGTGTTTGTCTGGATCGTAAGGACCACCTAATGATCCAGTTGATCCGAATCACTGGGATCACTAGGTGAGCCCGGTGATCCGATTATGATTGGCTGTTTGGCCTCCGTCTCTCTGACTTGACTTGACCGTCCTGTCAGGCTGTGACACTACCTCGACTATCAATACAACTTTATTACACTTGATATCTCTTGAGCACATTACCAGACGAGACAATACCCTGGTTTAACAACACGAATAGTCCATATGCCAACATAGACGCAGCACGACCGGTTCATCACTTGGGAAACACATGATCGTCTGATATTATAACGTGATATAGAAAAATAGGACCTCTTACTATCCTGTGAAGTTAAATGCCCCCGAGGTAATGGAGGAATTAAATAATCCGCATAAATACAAGATACCATGACCGCCTCGCTTATCCCTTCCCAGTTACTGTCCGCACCTTCCCTTAACACCGCTAGCCCAGCCGGGAACTGGTCCTTCGCCCCGGATTTGGTCCGTAGAGGTAGCGTAGTAGCAGTAGTTGCTCGACGAATCATGGACAAAGAGAGCACAAGACGGGTCGTTGTCGCACTTGTGGGCACATTCGTTCAGGCTTAACTCGTCGTCATAAGGAATTCCGCCAATGATGTAATCGCACATGATGTTCATGGTGTGGAGGCACTGGCCTGTCGAGGGGCACGAGACAACCACAGGAGCCTCTGAGGTTGTTGTGGCTGGCTCGGAGGTGGTGATGGTTGTCGATGTCATGAAGGTAGTCAGGGTAGTATCAGTGGTAAGATAGGTCGAAGCTTCGGTGGTAGAGCCAGTTGTGGAATCAGTAGCAGACTCGGTCGTCGTCTCGGTTGAGGTTTCAGCGGTAGAACTCGTCAGGCTTTCCGTAGCAGTGGATGTTGTTGCAGTTTCGGTTGTCGAGGTTTCAGTGGCCGAGTCGGTCAGGGTGGTTCCCGTGAGCAACGTAGTCAGGCTGGTTTCCGAGGTGGTAATAGTAGAGCCAGAGGGCCTGCATTTCCCGGCCGCAGTGATGCCTGCGACCATGTAAAGCACGAGGAGGGGGCGGAAGGCGACCATGATGAATATCGATGGTATTGAACAAGTAACGAACGGCTAGCACGAGGCAGGAGGTTAAAACGAAGGACGAGGTGAAGGGTGAACCTGGAGGAGCATTCAACGACGTCTTGCCCAGGATTTATCATTAGCCGTCGTTGATCTTCACCCTCCAATACTTAGCTCCTATGTTTGGAGATTCATTTCCACTTGTCGCAGGGGGTGAGGCGGTTCCGAGACTAGGTATTGTTTTAGCCGTTCCCATAGCGCCGGTGTAATTAAACTGTGAGCATTAGTTGTGCTAACTCAGGTAAAGGTGGATTGGAAAGGAATAGCGCAACACTTATGGCTGTAGGCTCCTGCCGCAATCAAGATTCTTTCCGCGCTTGGCATCGAGATCGTCAGGACCCCTTGCGCCCCGTTCCATCAAAGAAGATCTGGGCCTGACGATCATACTAGCACTATCTCCTAGGCTGCGGTAGGGCAGCAAAAGCATTGCGCAACTCTTTGGCGTTGATTGACTTGAGCAACTGGCTCGACACCTTACCGCAACCCGGGAGATTTGAGTATCACGAGGCCTAACGTTAATTACAGGCGTTGCGGGCGTTTCCTGCACCTTCGGATAGCTGCCGGAGGGTCTATGTAGCGTCAACGGCCTGAAGGGTTGAGATTTTATAGGAGAGAGATGGCGGTAAAATCTTTCACCTACGCGCTTGGCCGAGCTGACCAGGTCCAAGTGCCAATGAATATCGCGCAACAATATTGGTTGAACCTACCTCACTTGATCAAACACGTCTCTTCCCAGGGTTGGCAATCTCGTGATTTGGCACTTGAATTCTACGCTCTAACACCTCTATCACAAAGGCCCCTGCTCGCCCATTACTTGGCTTTGCGAGTCGAGACCCTACTAACATCGTCACGCTGTGAATAGGACGTTTGGGGATGGAATTAGTGCATCATCCAGCTGCCAAATCTCCACAATCAAATCACTTGAAATTCGCTTAATAGAAAGCTCAAAGTTTGAACTATTCTTTTTATAAACGAGTGATCATTTGATAAGCGTTAAAAACTTCGAGTTCGCTGCGAATTTTTATGTCCAAAACCAGAAGCCTCCCCGCCAGAGGGAGCTTCTCTAGGATGCTCAATTGACTGAAAATCATGAGAACCGTGGGTCACATCTGCTCTCAGGGTGCATTTAGAGCAGTAGTCGAAATCAGAACAGACCAGACATTTGAATCGGGTTCCATAGATGTCCTGTTGCCGATGAGCAGGTTGTCCGGGAAGCAAGAAGGGAAAAGTAGTAACTTACGAGACCACAGCCATCACATACAGCATCGTGTCTCAGAGCGTGATCAAGAGTCAGAATATCCAGAACCCATAATCTCCGATTGCCAATCATCTCATTGGTTATCGATATTCGGTAGGAATACTCGTCTTTGCAGTATCCCGACAGTCTATCACCACGATGGAGATACTGACTTCGTGGAAGTGTCATCCATGAAGGGTCCATCTGGGCAGCAACAGATTGTGGTTCAATGGGGGGTTTGACAGGACTGAACAAATGGCCTCCAAACTGACAAACAGGGTTGAAATCTGGATCAAATCCTAGTTTCAGTGCCCGAGATCCAGATTCCGAACTCAACCATATTGATCCAGCAGTGCCACTTGATCCTGTTGGTATTTCGAGAACTCGGTCCTCGTCAGACCACTTATTCAATGAGTTGACCTCCGAGACCCTGTCGTTTCCCCTTGGCGGAGCGGTGGTAATTTTTGTAGGCAGCGTTCGAATCCAGAACCCGTACAAACGATTCATCGGACGCTCCCTATAATCTCTTTGTCGAATGTAGATTTGCTTGAATTGGGCTTTCGATGCCAATCTTGCCTCAAAGGTCCGAGTGTCCTTTCCTTCTAGTAGCACTCTGACATACTGATCTCTTTCTGGAAGAAGTTGCAAGTAGATTCCGATGCGACTGTTGGGAATGTTTTCCAGCTCACAATCAAGCGCAGCAAGATATGTCTCCATGGCCCAGGCTACCATGGGTAGCTCTATCGACAACCCCTTAGTTGTGAGGGAGTATGGAATTCGATTCCATTTGACCCTGGATGGGATTATGTTGAAGCAGTCGATAAAATCCATGGGAGATTTCGCTAGCAACCCGCGATAATTGCTGCTGGTGCTCTTCCAGGCAAAGAGAGACTGGTCATCCGAGATCTTCATAATCTCTTCTTGAAGCCGGATAAATGCCCGTTCGCCTTCACCATACAACATGGGCATGTTGACTTTGAAGAACCCTAGGAGGCTATAAGCCCTGTCTTCCGATCTCGTTGTTGTCCGCTTCGCCGCCCAAGACATCCTCTTCGCTATGCTGAAGTCATCGGGATCCGCACCTTCAAGCATGGTCGTATCAATATTGGTTATGCTCGAGATGATATCCTTGAGGCTTTCTTTTGTCCCGATTTTCTGCCAGGCGCAATTGAAGAACTCGACGGTCGCAGGCGCAATGAGCTCCTGCAGTGTCCACCCTCGGGTGAACCACACGCTCTCTCCGAAGCTCGCATCCTCCGACGGATCAGTCGTCTCGACATCAGCCAAGTACGCGTAGCATACTGCTGCATTTTGATACCACCGATACATTGAATTGATAGACTCGGACAGCTCCGCACTACTGGTCTTATCGATGCAGCAGGTATCGACCCACGCGAACCCGAGCCCATCTTTGAGGGCCTGGTCGCAGCATCGCTTGATTTTATGGTAGCCTGCCTTGCTGGTGGCTGTGCCATCCTGCATGTCTTTCAGGGACACCTCACCATCTAGCCACCTGTGCGAGAGAATTGCGTATGCTGGAGTGTCATCGCTGAAGAACTCTTTGATCTCCAAAGTTGCCGAGTCGAGAAGGCGCATAGTGGTGGGGTGTCTTGAGTTGGAGACAATTTGTGAGTGTGCGTTTGTTAAGAATTGGGTTGAATTCACGAAGCAGAAAAAGAAAGAGAAGAAGAAAGAAAGAAAGCCACGCAAAACGGTAAGCGCGGATGGATTATTCCTCCGTCACGACCCTGCACGCGCATGATGCCCCCTGTGATAGAGGGATCGCCAGTATTGGTCACAAATTCTTATGGGGGCCTCTGGTCCGGCGTTTCCACCATGGTTTCTAACCGCTTTCACAGGCGATAATTTCCCCGAGCAAATTCCAGTGAGATAGCGTCAGATGCTAGACGAGCTGATTATCTCGGACCTCGGTAATACATAGTAGTGCATCAGAATCTTCACTCCCGCTCAGTAGACGGTAGCTCATATTAGCTTTTCATATGTTGCTGAAAGTCACTTATAGGCATCGGGTTCAAAGCCATGGTGTTGAGAGGTTGCAGCTTGAGAAGATGAAGAGGTGGACAATTCTCTTATTTCTCGTACGGAGGTCAGAGCAGTTAAAATACCCGTGAGAGGTTAGACTTTCATAATAATATAGCTAGGTATGACTCTTCTGCTGCTGTAAAAGTTTAACTAGGCCACTATGTTAACATCGGGTCATGATGTTATATTATGTTTGAGATCTATTCTTTATTATAGTTATAGCCCGGCCCTTGATGGGTTAACTGAGCCCGAAGATCGCTGAAAGTCACATAGGTGCCATAATCACAATTTTGGAGAGAACTAGATCTGTTCGGATATTATAAAATGTGCCTTCTAGTCTTAGCAGACAAGAGATGGCTGGCATACTGCTTTCAGCCATCCGTCACCCTTCAACGGCCGAGGATGGGGTAAGTCAAGGAACTATGAGTTGAAGGAAGAGTTTGTGGATTAGCTATCGGTACACGATTTCCAATAGAATGGCCCAATATGAGTCAGTTCGGTCGTCATCAATAAAGCAACGGCTGTGCTGGTTGCTAGTGCTTGATCCGTTGATATATCGTTCAATGAGGTCAAATCAAAACGTCATAAACATTATCAAGGCTGCAGTTCCCATCATGGCCAAGCACGGTTTCAGGCTGTGCGCTCCGCTTTCGACAATTTGCTCCGGCTCATACGTGCTCGGCCTGGTCGAATTCATCGTACCATTCCAACAATACCGCGAAAAGCAATCGACACACTTGGAGGGCACGTCGGTCTTGGTGCGCGCCAGGCTGCGAGCCAATATCGCGCAGCCTACGCAAGCGGGCCAGTTGGAGTCAACTGTACCATTCCCCATGGTCGCGACGTTGTATCCGTTGCGTATGATCTCGTTCCGCTCCGTGTTACTGTATTCGAGATCAAAGGTAGAGAAGTTGGACTGGTAGGTATACGGCGCATTGGGTAGATAGACAATAAGTGGCCCTGGCGACGAGTCTGTGCTTGCATTACAGCCGAAAAATGTCGGGCGCTTGTTCAAGCCGAGGTTGATAAACGTGTTCTGGTCTGGGACTTTGGGAAACTCGTTGTTCTGAGTCGAAAATCCGTCTGATGACCTCTGGTACGTGGCCACGAGTGCCGTACCGTTTGGCCAGTGAGTTGTTGTATCAGCTGAACCATCGACGGCGAATATGACATCAACTTGGCGCTCCGATAAGAGCAATGGATGCAAGGGAATGTTTTGGAGGTCCTCGCCACCGTCAACGAGGGTGAGGACGGTGCTATCGGCGTTGGAGTTGTTTCCGGGATTGTACTTGTAGAACGGGTTGGGCCAGCTGGCGATGTCTCGGTTCTCTTCGCCAACATCTGCCAACGTGTTGTTGAGAGCCCTGATCAAGAAATCCGGAGCACCCTCGACTTTGGCGATCTGCAAAAATGCCTGGTTGAACAGTGACGAAGAGGTACCCATAACGAACCCGGCGTTATCTACCCCGGCAACACAATCCCCATTACGCCTGATTGTGCCGTTGTCAAAATCAGAGCCAATGTACTTGAGAGGAGCAAAAGCGCCAAGTGATGGATCATAGGACCCCATTTCCCATGGGTTGAACTCCACGACGGTGGAGTTGTCAGCTATTTGAAGCTGGCCTGACGTCCGCTCCACTGCAACAATGAGAGGCATAGGTGCTCTCGCCTGAGTGAACTCGGTGTCGTTTGCGATCGATGAGAAAGTGTATGCTAGACATTGTCAGCTGCTGTTTTGATAGTGACTGGTAAACATACCAGGTCCTCCATCAGTGGCATTGACGAGTTGGTAAGACAAAGCTCTTCCCCAGTAATCGGTTATGGTCTTGTTGTACCCTGCGTCCTCCTTGCTCTTTACATCATCATACAGCTCGCGATAGTACCGTGTTACGGATAGGTCTGCTGGCCCTAGATTTACCAATGTGAGTAAACACCACCCAAGCTGACTTGTGTACAACAAACCTTCAATGATGGACTCATCAAGCTGCCAAAGGCTATCAAGAAACCCGCTCTGTGCAAAGATGATGGACTCGACTGTGGTGAAGTTCTGCACATACAGGCTTCCAACAACCCAACTACCTCCGGACAGTCCACTAAGATACGTGGCGGCCTGGAGAATGCCACCAAGTTGTCCCTTATCCGTGGAGCTTGTGGACCGGTTGTCGAACGCGGCGATGGCACCGGCCCCGTTCATCATGGCTCGATAACCACCACCAGAGATGGCGATGCCGATTCGCGGCAAGGCATCGCCGTCATCAACGAGGCCGTTTATAAAAGCGTCAACGTCAATGTCACCGATGTCCGCTCGATTAAGGACATCTTTCAGCGCTGAGATAGTGTTGTTATCACGGAGCTGTAACCATACTGTTTCATTGGCTGACAGTGCTGTCGCATTGCGGATGACTGGCCGTCTCGAAGGGCATGAGACTTGGGCTGGTGCGTAGCCGTCTGGGGCGTCTGGAATGGCTCTTGGACCAACAAATGGTAAAAGGGCATGTGTCGCTGTCCCAAAGCTTCAGCCGGGGCTCGGTTCGTACTAGAGCATTCACCTACCTGGAAACCAGACCAGTAGACTCGCCAGGATGAATGACCCTCCGTGTACAAGCATTATGGGTTGTTGATCAAGGATCAATGCCCGATACAGTCTTGTTCGGCGCTTTTCGTTTACTCAACTGAGGCGGCCGACAACGAGAGACTTGGCAAATTTAAATATTCATAGCACGGAGGGCAGCTCGAGATCTTTACCGCATCGTACTTTCTCTTGGATCATGGTGACATGGTCGGCTTGCGCGCGATTGGAGTCAAGGTTTCTAGTTTTACAGCCGTGGCTTGAGCCACAACGGCTTGCTCTCAATCTGGTTGACCTGAGGAACATGTCTCTTGTCCCAATAGGCCTGTTCCCTTTATAACCTTTGTGGCTGCTGTGGGTTCATACACCCTCCTGCAAGAATAAAACGGGAGGTTGAGAGAAGTGTCTGTTAAGGTTGGCGCTTGGGGAGAATTGGCTGCGACTCTGTTCTAGTAGTGTAGGATCGGTCATCACTGACACTTGCTTCGCTCTGAAGACTATTTCTCTGATCCTCGGATCCGAGAACCTTGTGACATTGACCTAATAGAAACTACCCAATGGTGCCTCGGCACACTCAACAGGACCCTTGATGACAGCGGTTCCCACATTACCATCCGATCTCTGGCTCTGGACTGGTTCTAGTAGAGTCTGTCAGATCACGTTTGCGCCCTGGCGAAAAACTTACCAAACACAAAGACAGCAACAGCCTGGTTCCCCCGCCCGCCCAGCATCCTGACCGCGAAGCCCTCAGCCGCGCAGAGGGAGTCAAACTTGTTCTGCCCAACATACGGCACGTTCCAGAGAAACGTCACCTTGTAGCTCTCTTCATAGCCAACGACTCGGTACGTGACTGAACCGCTGACTCCGGCGCCCACGTGGCTTGACTTGCAGCGCAACATACCACTCTCGCCGGCCAGGATTTGTGTTGACGGTCGTGAATCAGGTGTGTCCATCCAATGGCCATGCTGGAGGTTTGGGGAGTCTGGTTCGAGATCAAGCTCCTCGTTGGTGTGGTTCAGAATCACCACTAAGAGCTCCCTGCTGGCCATCTTGTTGCTGACTGGGCGTACAAATCGCTTCACCGTTGTATTGATAGGTGAAATGCGACGTGAAAATTGATGGACAGTGAGGAATACTTGACATGATCTTCCCGACCACATGAGAGGAACGATGTGCTGATATACTGCCATGGATCCTGCCCGAATCGATCTAGACCGACACCAACAGCTTCAACTTGCTGCTCGATGATGCACGCGTTTCATCATTCACGTATTCAGTGGGCTTAACGACAAGATGACAGGGAAACTCAATATCCGGAGGGTGGGAACAGTCGCGTGAACTGACCCGGGCGCATTTAAGTTAAGAGGCGTATTTACGAATAGGACTCTCTCGACCCCTCATTCACAACATGCAGAAACTAAAACAAAGGTGTTCAGCTCAAGAGTGCTTTCCAACTTTTCCATCATACGGGACATGGTCAAGCTCCTACTACTCTAATACTAAGGGGGGATAATCACACGACTTATTCCTCGTAATCTCTTTATCCCCTTCTCATCAACTCCCATTACTATCAATTGAATCACTGTTCATAGCATATTGACCTCAAGCAGCCTGCTTCACCATCTGCACCGTGATCGTGGGCCTCTTCTCCCCCGGCGCCAGCTCAAACACCCCAACTCCCGAAACACTCTCTTTCGCCTCGACAGCCTGCTCCTTGACTTCCTTGGGTTGTATCACCTTTCCTTCCAAGCGGGGATCCCCCGCCTCCATTGGCGCATACAGACTCAGGAGCTCATTCAGCCTCTCCCTCTGCACACAGTTCTCAATCTTCCAGCTGGCCGCCAGCTCATCCAGCTCGTCAAACGTCTTGCCCCTAAAGTACTCTGCCCACTCCGAGATCATGTACTCGGCCATGGTAATCCCGCGGATCCCGCGGAAGACATGCATGTGCATGCGCCACTGCCAGGGGTACTTCTTGCTGTGCTCCGCGGGGACGTTGTCCTCAAACCACTTGTGCAGGGGGCCGAAGAGGCCCTCTTGAAGGTGCGCGTCATCGTAGGCCCACGAGTCGACGGCGAGGTCGCGCTTCTTGCGGATGATGGGGGAGAGGAGCTTGAGCCATGGGGACGAAGGGGAGACGTATGCAAGGCCCATGACGTTGATGTCCTTGTAGCACCAGATGCTCCATGCTAAATGTGTAAGTAATTGCTGAGATTAGAGTTAATGCAGGCTTACCGATGCTTTCGGCGGTGTAGATGGCCATCTGCTTATCTAGCATGTTGAACCGCTCGTCGTTCTGGACTTCATAGTCGGGGTTGTACTCCTCCCGCTCGTAGATGGGGCCAAACTCGCCTGTTTCATCAGCAACAGTCTCATAATCAGTAGCGATATCTTACCGTTCCATACTGGGACTCCATGCTCCTTCATAAAGGCCGACTTTCTATCGTACATCTTCCGGATGTAGTCATCCTGCTCCTTCAGTCCCTGATACCTACCAATTCTGTTGGGAAACCCGAAACCGCAGTAATCGTGGATCGCGTACACGGAATTCGGAAACACATCTGTGAAGCCTGAAAAGTCCATGCTGAAGGTGTTTCCCTCCAAAAACAGGATGTGATCAGGATCAACTGCTCTCACAGCGGGAACTATCCTATCATAAAACGAGAGCAGCCGTGTCCACTGCTCGTCAGCTGGCTCGTTCAACAGGTTGTATCCCGCGATCCAGGGATTGCCCTTGTACCGATTGGCAATAACCTCCCACAGGTGGACGACCCTATCCTGGAAGTGCTTATGGTCCCAGAATGCCGCGTAGCCAGTCGGGTTGTCAGAGTGCCAGTCCTGGTTCTGGCCGCCGGGCGCTGAGTGAAGGTCCAATATGGCATAGATCTTGTACTTTGTGCACTAAGAGTCGCAGGAGTTAGATTAGTCAATTAATACACTTGGAAACTTACAATCTCAATCGCCCTGTCAAGATGTTTGAAGCCCTCTTCCTTGATGACAAAGGGATTCATATCATCCTCGAAGTGATGGTAGTTGAACGACAGGCGGAGGCAGTTGAAGCCAAGCGACGAGAGGAACTCGCCATCTTTGTCTGTGAAGAAGTACTCGAGGAACTTGTCGAAGAAGAAGTCGTACTTTTCGCGACCGAGGACCTTGAGGAGGGCTGCGCGGATCTGGCACTCGCGACCGGGGAAACCGTTTATGAAGTTTTCCATCATCATCCAGCCGCCGAGAGTGGTCTTAAAGTGTCAGTTTGAGCTGAGGTGTGATGCTGTAGGGTAGGACTTACGCCTCGGAGGAGGACGGGCTTACCATCTGCATCGACGATGCTGGTGCCTGACGTTCGAAGCAATCCGGTAGCCATTTTGATTTTGACAGAAAAGGAAGAGAAATTACAGAAGTGTGTTTTGGTCAGAGAGAAGTGCCCAGGGAGAGCAGAGCCCCTAAATACCCACCTGTTGTCTTGGTCGTCCACATTTGAACCGAGCATCCTCTGACCCTGTTCGGGGAAGATTCAGCTGATCATCCTACGCTGCCATGACATGCTCCACGAGATAATAGGCTAAATGGCTCATTCTCTAGCGGCTCCGCTGAATGGGGAGTTTGAGACATGATGGACGTGTAAGTGTTGGGATCTTGGTTGTACGTAGGCACAACATAACGTCTCCTGACCATCGTACAAACATTCCTGTTTCTTAGTCCGGCTAAGAAACAACCTGTTCTCACGCGAATCCCGGTCATTGGCAAGAAAACACCTCGTCTAATCAGCGCCCTTCGACCGATCCTCGGCCTCCTCATCATCAGCCGTGTCGTCCAAGTGATGCCATTGCCCACCGAAACTAGAAAACCATCCCCGACGCTACGGCAGAGCTAATGGAGGGTCAAAGAGTGGAGACATTCGGGCTTGCGATTTAGCTCCCCCGAAGCAACATCATTGGCCTGACCTGAGGATTCCTCCTGCGGGGAGAATCTCCACCAGACTTCACACTATCCACTCCCACCGGCTTCACTAGTCATGACCACTGACTCAACTGGGTACCATGACACGAAAAACCCTTTCCATTCCCCATGGGGAGCCCTCCAGGACTTCTCCGTTCTTGCTGATGCCTGTGGGGGAAATCACCCTGGTCCCTCAACACCAACTCGCCTAAATGCCGTCTCCATCGCCTGGTCTCTGATCCTTTTTCGCTCGGCAGAAGAAACTCAATTACATTAGCCGCGCGAGTCTAGTGGCGCTGCGTCCTTTGATGCCCTGATATAAAGAAGCTGTAGATGCCACCTGAACCAGCATACCTCAAGCACTCGACATCACCTCTTCTCTCCTCATCATGAATGCCCTCCGTCAACGCCTCCCCGCCCCCCGGCAGGACCAAGCAGCCCGCAAAGCCCATAAACAAGGTGGCGATGCGCAAGGCAAGGACTCGTACGAGCCCTCTCGCATGGCCCAGCTTGCAGGGGAAGCACCACCATGGTATCACTCCGCAGCCCGTCGACGGCTCTACTTTCTCCTCTTTCCAGCAGCCGTCGTCTCCTACGCAACCAGCGGGTATGTTCTCCCCACCATCCTCTGTCTTGTGGCTCAGTCGTTCCGCCAAGGGCCGGGCTTCAGCTATATTAAAAAAACACAACGCCAACACATCACCTCATCATCATCATCGTCGCCGTCATCATGATTGCTAACATTCCACTTCAATAGATACGATGGCAGCATGATGAATTCTCTCCAGACCGTCTCCTACTGGGACGACTTCTTCGACAACCCACGAGGATCTCAGCTCGGCCTCATGAGCTCCATCATGTCCCTCGGATCCATCTGCTCCACCCCAATCGCTCCTTATGTCGCCGACAGGTTTGGTCGTCGCTGGGGAATCACTGTCGGCAGCATCATCATGATAATCGGGGCGATTCTTCAGTGCGAGAGCGTCAACTTTGCCATGTTTGTCGTGAGCAGGTTCATCCTAGGGTTCGGCCTGTCATTTGCGACTACTTCTGCGCCGAGTCTCGTCTCTGAACTTTCGCATCCCAAGGATCGCGTCACTGTAACAGCCATCTGCAATACTTGGTAGGACTCACTCTACTTTTGGAAGCGCAGTTACTAACCCCTACAGTTGGTTCCTCGGCAGCATCGCAGCAGCTTGGATCACCTTTGGCACGCGCCGAATCCCTAGCACCTGGTCTTGGAGGCTTCCTTCACTCCTCCAGATGGCACCTAGCGTGATCCAGTTGTCCACTATCTGGTTCCTGCCTGAATCCCCTCGATGGCTCATGTCCAAGGACCGCGATGACGAGGCCCTCGCCGCCCTGAAGCGATACCACGGAGACGGCAACGAAACCGAGCTTGTCCGGCATGAATACGAAGAAATCCGCGCTGCAATTGACAACGAGAAGCGTGAGTTGTCTAAGCACCGTAGGTAGCCGTCTGCTAACCCCATCCTAGTCTCCGGCGCAACAACCTGGAAGTCCATGGTCAGCACCAGTGGCAACCGATACCGCATGTTCCTCGTCCTCTGCATGGGCTTCATGAGTCAATGGTCAGGCAACGGCCTCATCGCTTACTGTAAGTGCTGCCTACCTCTCCCTCGGACACCGTCTAACGGCCTCAGACCTCTCCCGCGTTATGGACTCGGTCGGCATCACGAACAAAAATATCCAGGCTCTCGTCAACGGCCTCATCAACGTCTGGAACTTTGCCCTCGCCCTAACAACCGCTTTCTTCGTCGAGCGTGTCGGTCGCCGCCCTCTCTTCCGTGCGTCCACCCTCGGTATGCTCACCGTCTTTACGGCCTGGACGATTGCATCCGCTGAGTTTGACAAGACGGGTGCCAAAGCGGCGGGCATCGCAGTCATGGCTCTCATCTTTGTCTTTCAGATGTTCTACTGCATCGCCTTTTCGCCACTGCCGGTCGCCTACTCTGTCGAGGTTCTGCCGTATTCGATCCGCGCCAAGGGAATGGCTACATATGTGTTTTCTACAAAGTGTGCTGTCTTTGTGAACCAATACGTCAACGTGAGTACCATCGTCTTTCATCCTTAATTGCTGGGTTGAGCTGACATTTGTAGCCCATTGGCCTTGACGACATTGGCTGGAAGTACTACCTTGTTTACGTTGCCATCCTCGCCGTCGAGAGTTTCATCGCATACGGGTGGTTCCTCGAGACAAAGGGTAAGGCTCTTGAGGAAATTGCCGTCATCTTTGATGGTGAGGCTGCGGATGTTCGGTTGACTGAACTAAAGAATGATGGTGTCGTGGAGCAGGATGAGAATGTCGAGCGCAAGGTCTAGTGGCAATGTGGGTGATGTAGCTGAAGCCCGGCCCTTGGTGGGATCACGAAGTTAGAGGACCGTAGGTGATGTAGTCTTATGTAATAAGTCAAGAAATGTGATGATGTGGACTCAAGCACTTCTATACTTGGACTTTGAGTGCAGAGATTGTAAACCCATCTTTGCGTGTGTCTGTGGTTATTGATGTTCCTTGAATGCTGCCCAACACCTACCATGGTAGCTTCGCCAGCAAGTCAATATCAATTACCTTGGTCTTACTAGTGCAACCTAGAATACATCCTTCTCAGCGCTGTCCTCCTCACTATCAAGCAGCCATCCTATCCCTACACGCTACATCCAACTTTTCCAGCACCTCCAAATGCCAGCCAAACTCTCCAATGTTAAACCCAAACTTCCTCAGATTCCTCTTCCCCAACAGAATCGTCTCCTCGATATCCCCCGGCAAAATCTCCCTCAGCACATCGCAAAACGTCGCGATTCGCAGAATCATGACCATCGTAAAGGTACTACCGCAGCCATTAGACATCAACTACTTCATAAAGGAGAGCTTCCACTTACACCATACCGCTCGCAAACAAACATGTTATCCTATTAACAGGATTCGCATCAAACACGCCGATAAAGCCCTTGCACCCCTCAAGGCACATTCTGCACCTCTCCAGTATGGCCTCCCTGCACGGGTGCGTGTGAAAGTGCCCCACGTTGAGCAGGACGTACTCTATAAACGGCCTGTGGACAATGTACTGCCCGGCGTAGTACCGCCCCTGAAGTCGGACAATATTCCACGCATGGTTGCCCAGGCGCCTCGACGTTCCCGGGGATGCCTCCTCACCTGGCTGCGGCTGCTCCTCGGACCGGCTAAGCAGAACGTCCGGGAGGTTGCGGTATATGGTGCTGTGGTAAGACCAGAGGTCGTCGGTCGTGCGGAGGAGCCAGTTGGCGTAGTTGGTCCGCGTCATTCGGAAGTGGTCCTTGCTGTCGTAGACGACGCTGTTGACGTGGTTGAGAAACCGCCGGATCGCGGCGTTAGTGCTGATCTGGAAGGCAACCAGCTCCTCTGCGGGATCTAGCGATGCGGGCTCCGGTCTGAGCGTGGCAGTCTCGATAGATTCACCACTTGGAGCGCCTTGGATGGGGTACGGGACGAGGTCCTCGTAGCGGGCAATGCCTGAGGGTAGAGTGATGGATATTTCGGAGACAAAGTCACCCTCGAAGATGAAGGCTACCCAGTACAGCCGACGGAATGCTTCGGAAAAGACGTCGTTTTCCTTTGAGCCGATGAGGGTCCTAACGGCGTGAGTAAGATCATCAAGGTGACCAGGTTCGAGCGTACCTCTTCGCCAAAGCCTCACATTTCACAGCCGTGGCATGCGCCCAGTGAAATGAGCCCGACACTTGACCTCTTGCTCCCATGTATATACTGCACATGTCAGTACCTTTTGATATCTAGATGAATGGCCTCTTACCTAGCAAGCATGGCACACTGCGCCGCCTCGAGCGTCAGATCCGAGGAGATGTGCCCCATTAACAGCTGCGCCTTCTGCCACAGCTGAACATCTGGAAGTTCAGCCGGAAAATCCTGGCTTTCCTCCCCAGTTTCTGGTGATCGGAACGGTCGTTTCCGAGGAGCCAAATCACCCAAGCAAAGCACAAGCAGCAAAAGACAGTAACGAGCAGGCGACACGGGATGACTACCTTCTTCATCACGCCCTTCAGAGTCAGAGACCCGATGCAGCACATCCAGCATTTCATCATGGGACAAGAGCGGGAAGAACACATTGACCTCTGCAAAGTACGAGTCCAACATGCGTCGATACCTCTCCAAGGAATCCCCAAGCCCAAAGATTCTCCAAGACTCCGGAGGAAACGGCTTCGGTTCCTGGTCAGGCTTCTGCTGGAAGAAGATGTCGGTCGCTTCAGTCGAAAGAACATTCCCGTGAGAGGCCCTTGTCGGGGCGATATCCGAGAGCAGCTGCCGCACAACAGGCCAGTTAAACACGTGATTCGCACAAGCCGTGTGCGATAACGGGATCAAGATCTGAGAATCCTGCTGGTCCGTCTCTGGCGCATCATTCTCATCGCCACCCTGCCACCCTGCTCTAGGCGGCTGATGTGTCGCATTCTCGTCTTGCCCGCCGCCAAACCCCGGCGCCGCAAAGATACGATCCTCGAGAAGCTGTATCCTCTCGAGGAGGATCAGCGTGTTGGCCTCGATCTTCGGCTGCTGCGAGTCCCTGTACACGCAGGCTACGTTCTGCGTCACGCACAAGCTGCACTTTGGCTTGGCGGCGTCGCATCGCGTCTTCCGGGCGCGGCAGTTTGTGCAGGCCTGCCAGACGCGGCGGCGAGGGGGGAAGTACTGAGATGTTGGGAATGATGTTGAGCTCATGGCATTTCGGGCCTGAAGTTGAATGGATGAAGTTGTCGGATTGGACCCTGCACACAGGGTCCGAGGGTGGTCACGTGCAGATGATCGCGGAGCGGGAAAACGCCGGTTACCTACCCGGGAGGGGGGCTTAGGTTGGATACCGACTCTCCCTAGGTAGTTTCGGTATTGTGAAAAGAATGAAATAATTAACACCCTCGCTAGATAATTAATACTCTTGCCTTTGCCCCGTCAATTCCAAACCCTCCGGTAGGTAATATCCAGTGGCCAATCTGGGCGGATAAAATCTTAGCCCTCCTTTCAGACTTGCTCCCCCTCGTCCCACATCTCCTTGTACAGTTTGAAGAACTGCTTGTTTGTGGTGATATTCCGATTCGAGGGATCGATGATGATTTGGACGTAGTCGTCTATGATTGCTGCATTGAGGCGTTGGTTGAGAAACCGACTGCAAAAGTCTAGGAAATCCAACCTCGAGCCATTCTGCTCACTCCCTCGGTTATATGGTGTCCCAGGGCAACAACCTACCAGCGCGCCGCCCCTCGGCCTCTGGACGGTCAGCGCACCCACTTTCAAAGATGCCGCGGGTAATTATTTTGTTTACGTTCCCTCGTTATCTTAGGGACCTAGGCATGTTGACATAATGAGGCTTGTAGCTCTCTTTTCTATCTGTTATACGGGGGTACTCTCTTTCTTGGCCTTGGCTCATTGCGCTCGCATTAAATTGCCCATCACTCTCTGCTAGTGCCAGAAACACCTTTGAGGTTGGAAGAGCGAGACGCACATACACCCTTCAGTCATTCAATCAAGGACAAATGGAGGATGTTTTTCCTAAAGACCAGCCCAGAGGGCGCATCCGGGAACCAGAGCTACAAAGCGACTTGAGATTGAACCTGAACAAGTTTCATCGGTCGTCAGTAAGTCCTACAACCATCAGGTTCAACCAGCAACTCCAGGAGCTGGAGGAACGGTGTGAAAAATGGCATGATGTAAGTCGCAGAAATATCCCCGGTTGGAGAAATCAAATTTTTACCACCTACAGCCATCTCCGAGGCACTACCAAAGTCGCTTCGATGATGCAGAGAAACGTTATTAACGCCTTTTTTTTTTCTCCCACAGATTGGCGCAACTGAGTATCGTCGACGGAGAAAAGAAGGGCGCACACCGTTGCCTGGGGCAACTCTGCTTCCATCAGCGAGGTCAGATACTATCCCATCCCGAGAAGATGGTCGGACGATTCCAATTCGCGTCTTGATGCCGCAGAGGGAGGACACCGAGGTTCATGGAATCTTCCTGCATTTTCATGGTGGAGGCTGGGTACTCAACGACGAGGAATCTTCAGATGTGTACCTCCAAACCATCTCCGACGCATGCGGGCTCATCAGCATCTCACTGGGCTACCGACTTGCCCCAGAGTACCCTTTTCCCGCCGCGCCGAAGGACTGTCTCGACGGAGCTCAGTGGCTTGTGGATAACGGCCCGCGCATTTTTGGACAACCCCTTGTCGTCATCGGTGGCGAGAGCGCCGGAGCTAACCTGGCTCTTCAAACAGCCCTAGGCCTTTTGCGTTCACCAGTTGAGCGCTACGCTAGATTCAACTTCCAGGGGCTTCTCCTTCACTACGGCGCCTTCTCTCTGCATTGGTAACCTGGTACGCGACATTTCTGAAGAACCCCAACACTCGTCCTGGATGAGGAGGCTATGACCAGATTCCGGTCCGCCTATCTGCCTTGCGAGGAGCCGGCGGCCCACACCTCCCCGGACGTGTCGCCGTTCTACGCCGAACTTAGTGGACTACATCTACCCCCACTTCTTATTACGTGCGGGACGGAGGACTGTCTTCTGGAAGACAACGTCTTCATGGCGACGCGATGGATGATGGCCGGTGGTCAGGCGGTTTTGAGGATCTTCCCTGGGAGCCCTCATGGGTTCATCCTTTTCCCGTCAGATGTACATCACAACGCTCATCTGGCCTTGAAGGATGTGGTCAGATTTGTGAGCTCCAAGGTTTCGCCAATATACTCACAGCTCCTTTAGAATTAGTCTGAATTTCATTGCCCGTCCCGTTTCTAGAGGCCCAGACCTTGCAGTGCCCTGCCAGCTTGGCCGTGGCTAACCAACGCTTTCTCAACGCCTATCGCCGTGCCGCCTGATAGGTCACCTGGGATCCAAGCTTCGAGTGGGCATTGAAACATGAAATCGAAATCAAATACATCATTGTCTGCAACCTCAAAGCCAAGAGCAGTCGTATTCTCTGTAAATACCTCGGCCGGAATTGGCCATGTGGCGTCGCCAGTCTGCGACCAGGGCGCCGCAGTGAGATTGCTAATGGAGGGCTGCATGATCGATGAACGAACGTGTGCTGGGCCTTGCAGCTGTTGAGATTGCGGTCGAGTACTGATGCCAGGATCTTGGCCTGTCAGCTTGATGAATAGGCTGATGAACAAGCGTAGAATCCAACCTCCGACAGGCCATGATTTTGATAGCTCCCCAAGCGCCAGCATACATTGCCTTGCTCGGTTCTCGGCCAGCTGGCGGTGGATCGGTGTATTGCGACGGATGACGATGGCGTGTATGGCCAGGGCGGCAAACAAGGCTGGTATGAGGTGAAGTTGGCTCTCACGCAGAGTGTTTGTGGTGAGGAGGTCCTCAGCGATACGTGCCATGGCATCAGCTGCTCTCGTGGCACGTTGGCCCCAAGCCTCCTCTATACCTGGCCGCGGCACGACGAGTGTCGGCCTGTAGAGGAGTATGATGGCATGTTGGTAGCTTGCCTGGAGGTTGGCCGCCCAGAAGCGCGCGTCGAGGGCCTGTCGCGCCGGCCTAGGGATCATGTCAAGAGGAAGGGCCTCCTCCCAAGCTTGAAGGTCGCTGTTGAACTGAGTCAGCTGCTCGGTGGCGGGTTTGCTCGAGGGCGAGAATCTCAAGACCAGAATCCGGCCCATCAAGACGGCGAGGGAGGACATGCTAATGGCGTACGAAACATGATATGGCTCCTGTGTGCCGACTATGTCCAGCGCCGTCTCGCTATCAAATGCAAAATCTCCTTCACAAAGTGGTTCGATGTCACAATCTTCGTCTCGGATACGGCACGGGCGACCAAGTGCGGCCGCCGCTTGGCGGTCGCGAACATAGATTGACCACCATATCCTCTTCCAGAGAGACCGGCACTGCTGGCTCAGGTTGGAATAAGCCGTGGACCTGTGCATTCCCAGAGTTTGGGCGAGACTGATGGAGCAGCCTAACCAATGCCAGGTATCTTTCTGATCTCGCGGTTTCTGCCACCAGAATGCCATCAGAAAGAGCACCGAGGTAAGTAGGGCCGAGTCCCTCTCATAGTCAGCGTCATATAGGCATTTGGCCCGGCTGTAGAAAGCCATTCTTGCATCCTTCCGATCTGCAAAGCCAGCTTGTCTTAGCAACTCCTCGTCGCAGACGGTGGCAGCGAGAAGATATATAACCTGAAGAAGGAGAAGGGAAATGCCACCCTGGCGATACAGGAGCTCGAAACCTTTGCGATCCAGTACGGCCCAACCTGGATGGAAATACCGGAAGTATGTGAGAACTAAGGCGTCGCTCACTTCTTTTGGCGGTACAGTTAGGGCGCCTCGTGCTCTCAGAAAGGCCATCGTATCGGGGTCCAGACCAGCTGGGTTGTCTGCGGTGCTGGTGACACCATGGTCGTTGGGGGACGGGGGGATGGGATAGTGGACTTTGGGTGCCGATGAGATATCGCCGGAGGGGCTGCACACTGCCTTGATGACAAAGGTTAAGCTGAACGCTTCGCCCAAGTAGAGTGTGCTTGCTTCATGATCTGGCTGCTGATTCCTGTCCACTGTCGAGTCGTACGGATCGGCCATGCGCGCGAATAACATATCTGAACCATCTTCATTGCCATCATCTATCGCTGATGATGGCCTTGCGTTCTGGGTTGCGGGGCTCAGGTGTGTGGTTGTGCTTGTCGGAGTCTCACGTTGGGTTGAAGCCTGGCCTTGGGCCGGCGAGTCGACTTGTCCGTCACCGTACGCGCTCACAGCGTGAGGGTCGACTGGATTGATATCTGCTGGATCGTGCGCGATGGGAAATTCTGGGTCGCCTGCTTTGTCGATGGACTGCAAGCCATCTGACTGTCCATGGGCGCGTTTCCTAAGCTTGCTTCGATCATATCTTAAAATATACAGGTCAGTGGAAGCCGGACACGGTCCTCTATAAATAATATGCTTACTTTCCGCGCTGGGATTCAGTCAGCTCGCAGCGGGTGTTCCGGTTACGACAGTGCCAACACGGCCGGGCCTCCAGCACATCACATTTTACCCTCCGCGCTTTGCAGGCTGTGCAGGCAGTCTTTGCACGACGGAGAGGCTTGGGCCGCTCATGCCCCGATTCCGACACAGGAGCGAGTCCCGGCGTTGGCGTCATAACATAAATGACAGTTGTAGTTAGCTCTCCTCAAGTTTTTTGCGGGGAAAGGAAATTTAGCACGCATTAGTGGACCTTGGCAGAAGTAACAGCTCGTGGAGGTGGAGGTTGCCACTCTTCCACCTACTTCCACAAACACCTAGAATCTCTCTACAAGACAAGTGTGATGGTATCTAGTGATCACATAATAACGTTGGCCGGTTTTGGCTGCATATCGCTGCTAGCATTGCTCATTTAGAGCTACAAATCCATCAGGTTGGTTTCGTAGATTACTAAACCATTCATATTCATTAAAGTCACCGGTGGAGACATGATTGAGTAATAGATCTGGATCGAGCACAATTCGAATTCAGTCTGCAGGATGTTAAAGATTTCAATCTTCACTCGCCATGAAGGTGAGTTGCTAATCGTTAGTTCCCTCGCCAAGCAGGTCGACAGGCGCCAACTGGGCCAAACCCCCCTTCCCCATGACCCCCATATAACCTCGGGCTCTTGGCTCGGATCCCAGCGCCCCCGAGAGCCCGCAGTATTGACGCGTGTCCCGAGGATGTCACTTCCCTAACATCGGGCTCTTCCCCGAATGGCGGGAATGCGGATGCTCTTCGATGTGTGTTAGCTGCTTATCATTTGACTTCCCCTACAGCATTTTACATGCTTTAAATCAATCTTCATCAAGCTTCCTCTACTCTCCTAACCATCGAGACAAATCTGCAATCACAATGGCACATGGAATTCCCGAGAGACGGCTGGGCGAGCCCAGGCACCTGCGCATCGTCACCGTCGGTGCAGGTGCTGCTGGATTGAACCTCGCCTATCAATTGGAGCGACACATGAAAGCCGTGGACCATGTCATTTATGAGAAGAACCTGGAAGTTGGAGGCACGTGGTACGAGAATAGGTACCCTGGGTGTGCCTGTGATATCCCCTCCCACAATTATCAATTCACTTGGGAGCCAAATCCGGACTGGAACAACTTGTGAGAACTCTTCAAAGTAGCCCCTAACAAGTTCACGATGCTAAGTCTTGCTTTAGCTACTCTACTGCTCCTGAAATCTTGGAGTATTTTAAAAGACTCGCCAAAAAGTATGACCTGTATCGCTTCATCAAGCTGGGCCATCAGGTGGTTGGCGCCGAGTGGATTTCCTCAGATGGTATATGGAAGATTAAGATCAAAGTCCTAGAGACGAATGCCATCATCGAGGACTGGTGCCACTTCATGATCACGGCATCTGGAATCTTGAAGTAAGTGTCTCATGCAACTTAAAGGCTGTTCATAACCATCCAGGCATCCTGCTGACAAGACCACGAAAGCAACTGGAAATGGCCAGATATCCCAGGCTTACATTTTTTCAAAGGCGAGCTTATGCATAGTGCCGCATGGGAGTCTAGCACTACGTGGAAAGACAAGACCGTCGCGGTTCTCGGCTGTGGCTCCTCTGGTGTTCAACTCGTGCCAACCATGCAACCCAGTATGCAATGCTCGATGCCCTAGTTGTGATGACTATACCGTTTCTAACATCCCATAGCTGTCAAAAAGCTCATCCCGTTCATTCGAACCCCGACCTGGATCACGGCGGGATTTGCCCAAAGCAAGGCTGGCCCAAATGGCGCGAACTTTGCCTGTATGAAGCGAAAGCCCTGTAAGAATCTATCGAATAAACCTGCTTACATATCCCAGTTTCGCAGGAGAGGAAGGACGAGTTCAAAACAAACCCTGATGCGTATCTGCGGTACCGCAAAGAGATTGAGCATGAACTTAACAGCCGCTTCAAATTCGTACGAGTCCTTCCCTTTGCCCAGTGCGCAGCGCAATGGTATCAGACTGACATTGCATCTTATACTTAGATTATTAAGGACAGCCCCGAGCAGGAAGAGGCAGTGAAATTTGCGGAAAACGAGATGCGAACAAAGCTCGGCGAAGACTCACCCCTTATCAAACATCTTCTACCTACATTCGCCGTGGGGTGTCGAAGGCCCACCCCGGGTAACGGATACCTAGAGGCCTTAACCAAGGACAACGTGCGAGTGGTCACGGATACCATCTCCGAGATTGTCCCCGAAGGCATCAAGCTGACTACTGGGGAGGTCATCAAGGTGGATATTTTCGTCTGTGCCACTGGCTTTGACATTTCATTCTGCCCCCGTTACCCTATAAGCGGAACCAATGGTGTTCAACTTGGAGACCAGTGGAAGGAGAGGCCAAAGGGGTATATGTCTCTAGCAGTGGACAATTTTCCCAACCACTTCAGTAAGTCGCGTTTGAAATGTGGGTAGCCCCTGGCTCACCCTTTTGAAGTGTTCCTGGGTCCCAATGCCCCTATCGGCCACGGCTCTGTGCTTCCAATTCTTGAGCAAGCGACCAAGTACATCATGCAGATGCTGTATAAGTGTCAGACCGGAGGTGTCAAGTCAGTTGTTGTCAAGGGGGCTGCTGTAGAGGATTTCACTGGTCACATTGACGAGTTTATGAAGCGTACAGCATGGAGCTCACACTGTCGATCCTGGTTCAAGAATGGGACCATTGATGGGCCAATTGTCGCCGTGCATCCTGGTAGCAGGATTCATTGGTTCCATATGCTGGAGAACCCGCGTCATGAGGACTTTGAATGGGAGTCTTTGTCCCCGAATCGATTTGCTTATCTTGGCAACGGGTTCTCGATGAAGGAAGAGGAGGGCCGGGACACTGCGTTCTACTTTGATGACCCAGCGGCAGGTTTTGAGCGGATTAGGTATTGAAAGACACGGCCTACAAGTATTGACTGTCGATGTATAGAAGTGTTTATTATTGGCCTGATCGTGCCTTGTTTCTCAAAATCTCCATTTTAGCCCACACAATGCACCGGATCAGGCAATCATGCGCCTTGAGATGAAATGAAAGCAGCCTCATTGAAAGGCAAAGGAATGCGAAAGAAGAGGCATCCAGCGCCATCTTTCATCTTGCTTGAAAGCGAACTTGGCTCGGGAGACGAGGAAAACAGACATGATGCTCAAGGTATATTGATGCATTGATGGATCGGAGATCTAGCAAAGGGATGAGGAAAAGATAAAAAGTAACAAAAGATAAGTTCTGTCCTTTGTTGAAGATACTTAAATGGTAAATACCAAGTGTTTGAAGCTACTTTCCCAGGAATCCTCCATCCACAGGGAGTGTGATGCCCGAGACAAAACGATTGGCGGGTGATGCAAGAAACAGGACTGCAGATTGCAGATCATCCGGACTGCCCCACCTCTTCATCGGAACTCTGCTCATAAGGTACTGGATTATCTCTGGGTCAGCTTGGTACCCTGAAGTCATGGTGGTATCCATGAAGTCAGGGGCAATGCTGTTGACCTGTATGCCCTTGGACGCCCACTCGTTGCTAAAAGCCTTGGTCATCTGCATTACGGCGCCCTTGCTGGTAGAGTAGATGCTAGTGTTGAAGCCAGCTTGGTAAGAGGTGACGGATGAAATGTTGATGATTTTCCCGGGGCGACCTTGGTAGATCAGCCTGCGGCCAAACTCCTGTGTCGACACGTAGCAGGCTTTGACGTTGACGTTCAAAACCTGCATTTCCATATATCATCAGCCAATGTCAGAAAAAGGGGCTTCCAGCAAGATCATTTCTCACCAGATCTATATCTTCATCACATGTATCCTCGCAGGGAGTCCGGCGGACAACGCCGGCGCAGTTCACCAAGATGTCTGGCACTATACCAGCATCCCATATGCGTCTATAACAGTCTCTGAGACTAGCAGAGTCTCGAAGGTCACATCGAAAAGTGTGCAAAGACACTGGAATATGCTCGAGAGCTTCCTTGAGGGCTGAAGATAACGGATCATCAGGTAGCTCGATCGATACAATCGCCGCTCCAGCCTTCGCCAGAGCTAAGGCCATGGCCGACCCTAGGCCGCCGGTCGCACCTGTGACGATAGCTGTCTTGACATCCAAGGCAAACATTTCTCTCAAATACTCAGCAGACATCTTGCCTGTCACTTGGATGACTGTAGAAGAGAACAAAGGTTAGAGAACACTTGTGGGATACCATAGGTCTGAGTTCAAGGGCTGGTGGAAAGCGGTGGACTCTGGCTGATCGTTGATGCGCTGCACACGTCTTGGTCCTCCTACAGCACGTCAAAACGCCCTGAAAGCTCATATTTTGGCATTTTTAGTCTGTGGGGAAGAACCGCGGGGATTCAAGCCACCCGTGGGTTAGGCACTGGCTTGTTGTTAGCGAGCATGGAGTGAAGAAGCCTCGGGTTCTTAGGTGGTGAAGACTAAGGCCTGAGAACCCTAGACAAGTGACCACATTGTGGGGGGTCTTGTGACGAACTAACATTGTGGGGTTGAGACTTGCCCCGTCTCGCATGCCTCGGAAGCAGCTACAGCAAGGCACATACACCCGAGGATATCCAGGGAATTGTGGCTGCCACCCTCTGCAAATGGATGGATGGTATGTGAGCGTTCTCCTTGTTGTCTCTCACTTACATGCCGCCCCGGGGAGTTGTCTTCATGTTGTAACAACCCATGACCCTCATACTTAAAGACTTGGAAATGCTTTCGAATCATAATTAATCTCCAGTATTTGGATCATTACTGCTTTCTGCCCATTTGTATCAAATCATACTCGAGACCAAAATCAGCCTGCAGAGCTCCAAACCTCATCCGCCATGACTCTGTCGGATCGTCCCGCGACAGGCAGCAGTGATAAGCCGACAATGGATCAGCAATTGGAACACGCGATTGCTTCCGACAATCCCGAAAGCGGCTCTGAGCGCTTCGACCCCGAAGAGGTGAAACGAGTCACCCGAAAGATTGACTTTCGGTTGCTCCCCGTCCTAACAATCTTGTACCTCCTTTGCTACATCGATCGGGGCAACATCGGAAATGCCAGAGTTGCTGGCATGAATGATGACTTGGGTATCACCCCGGGACAGTACAACATGGCCCTCACGGTAAGTGACTGTCTTGCGACAAGCTTCTGCCTCCCCTGTTGCTCCAAGGCGGCATTGGTGAATGACAGTTGGTCTGACCAATGAATAGGTCTTCTTCATTCCATACACCCTCTTTGAAGTGCCCAGCAATATCATGCTTAAGTTGATGCGACCATCGCTTTGGATTGCATTCCTCGTCATTAGCTGGGGCGCGGTATGTCATGCTATCCCACGCGTACCAAATAGTGGAGACTGATGTCAAAAACAAAAGGTCATGATTTGCCAGGGCATCGTCCAGAACTTGGGCGGCTTGGTCACTACACGAGCACTTCTCGGCCTGTTTGAGGCTGGTTTCTTCCCAGCCAGCACATACCTTCTTGGCGAATGGTACTGCCGTTTCGAACTCCAGCTCCGACTTGCGGTATTCTTCGGGGCAGCCTCCTTGGCCGGGGCCTTCTCGGGCCTGCTAGCAGCCGGGCTTCAGCAGATGGATGGAGTTGGCAGCCTGGCCGGTTGGCGGTGGATTCTCATCATGGAGGGTATTGTGACAGGTAGGTTGAAAACGCACAGGGACCTCAACTGATGGTTGCTCTTTGACTGACAATGAATAGTTGCTCTTGGTCTGGTCACTCCATGGGCCTTGCCAGATTCCCCCAGAACAGCCTCGTTCTTTTCGACTGAGGAGAGAGCCCTGGTGCTCTCTCGGCTTGAGCTAGATTCTCAGGGTACTGGGGCGTCAGAGACGATCGAAAGGTTTCAATGGCATTTTATCCGAGATGCACTTCTGGATTGGAAGATCTGGTTTACCGTCTTCGTTTTCTGGGGTAATAGGTATGTTCACCCGTGTGTCGCAGAGACTTGTGGCGATATCCATTACTCACACAGCAGTCTTTAGCATTCCACTCTATGGTTTCTTGTACACCGCCCCGACCATCATCCGAGAGCTGGGATATGAGTCTGTCGAGGCTCAGCTTCTCACAGTCCCCGTATATACGACGGCCACAATCAGTACCATCATCGTCGCGTGGCTCGCGGACCGTCGGAAGAGAAGATGGCCCTTCATCGTCTTTCCCTACGCCATCAGCTTCTGCGGCCTGATTGGCCTCCTCTCCATCCCACACCCCAAGTTCCCTGGCCTAACCTACGCGTTCCTATTTGCCGTGCCTGCTGGCATCTATCCAGGTGTCATCACTCTCATCTCTTGGGTCTCCAACAATCTGGCGCCGAGCTGGAAGAGAGCGGTGGGAACTGCTCTATGTGTGGGCCTTGGAAACCTCGGCGGCATCGTGGGCTCTAACATATTCCTCGTAAAAGAGTCACCCAAGTACTATACGGGATACGGTGTCTCCTTTGCCTGCATCGGCTTGGCTATCATCTCTGCCCTTGTGCTTCGAGCTGCCTACCTGGCGCAAAACAGAAAGCGGGACATCATGTCGGAAGAGGAGATTAGAGAGAAGTACACGGATGGTAAGCCTTTGCTTAGCTCGATAGTCCACAGTTCAGCTACTAATTATCTTTTAAATAGATGAACTCCTGCGGCTTGGTGATCGGTCGCCACTTTTCAGATACGTTACTTAGGGATTTTAAATCTGGTATATGATTGAAGACCTTGAATCTGTTGTTATCGTTCAAGGGTATATATGGCATCCCTTCCCAGATTCCATCTCTGTCCTTCACAAGCTGCACGAGACGCCCCCTAAAGCCCTGGATCTCAGATTGTTTGAAGCCAACAGGTCCTCTATTTATGACTTAAATACCATCTCTCTCCATGGAATACTGCCGACTACAGCAACTCCAATGTCTAAGATAGGTGTGGTCCAGACCGAACTGTGATATAGCCTCAATCCACAACACTCATGCGACCTTAACCTCAACATGCCTCCTATCGTGAAGGCGCGCCTCTTTGTCACTTGAGACTATCATAGACTACTCAAACCTAGCATATGATTTAACTTTAGGACATTATAAGATACTAGTTAGTAGCTAATTAAAGGTAATTAAGTATAGTACTTAGAAAACCTAGCATAGAGAGAATTACTTTTATTCTATATAAGTCTTTAAAAGTAAGTTATTATATTATTATTTAATATTAATCTTATTATCTTATGTAATAAGCTCGTCTTACAGCTACTTTACTTAAGTGCGAGACGTGGAGAAGACCTTCGAGCTCTGTGGGGGCAACGGCATGGCCCCGAACCTACAACCGGTTGTCAGCTCTAAATACTACTGGCCGAGGTGAACACAGTTTCCTATAGCTTACCTCTCCAATCTGCCCTTTGGGCACATCTCTTTCGGTCTTTGGGTTTATGGCACGAATCTCGGCTCCAGGTACAAGCTTCCTAACCTTTGTTGCATTACTCCAGGTGGTAAGCTTAGAAGGCGTCACTGTCTAACAAGAGGTAATTTCAGTCATGCCCCAACCTTGGCGAATAGACACCTCGGGGAACTGTTTCTCGAGCTACACAATTATTTTTTCAGCGAGTGGAGCGGCGCCTGTATTTAACTGTTTCATAAACGACAAGTCATATCCTTGAGCTGATGGATCGTTCAACAGTCGGATCAATAAAGCTTTTCAGGTCAGCAGGAGAGATATTGGCATAACAAATTGGGTAACTCAGATGTAACTTGTAGTAATAAAGGGAATAGGATAGCATAATAGTTGAATATTCACTAAAAGCAAAGTCCGCCTCGGGCACCTACTACACTAGCCCTAGCCGTAGTACCCGAAATGGCGAGGGCTTACTTGTAAACAGGCTGACTATAGATTCAAGCGACGTCGAATTCCAGCTCCAATCCCTCTACTAGACTGGCTAGGTTCCGGTGTATTCTGCTTCTCTTCATGAATTAGAAGGAACTGTCGTTGAAGATCCATTTCAGAAGGCTTCAAGACCTTGGACCTCAGCCGAATCTTAAATATCAGATATAGCACTGTTCAATATATTAGCTTTATCCATAGTGATACTCTTCGCGTCAATGCTTACCGGCAAAAATGGCAATGTTGATGTAGCAGGTGATGAACCCTTCGGCGGTAAAATGACCCTTGACGAAAACGTCAAAGCCTGGAGTTGATTTAGTGTAAGTGCCGAAGTTGTGATGGCGCCTGTACGAACCTGCGAACAAAATGACTAGGCAGACCATAAAGAGCGTTGCCCACGACATGTATGGTTGCAAGGGACTCTTGTACGGGAGGTCTGGAGGGTGTCAGAAATTGGAATGATTGCAAAGTATCACTATGAGAATACCTTCACGTGAGTACCCCTGGGCCTTCAAGCCTGCGTGGAATCGAAGGTATGTGACTTGTATAACCGCCCAGCCGATCAAACCAGCCACCGTCGTGATGTTGACAAACCAGTTGAACACCTCAGACGTGTTGTTTGTGACTGTCAAGTATACCAAAGGCGACAAGATGCAGCTGAAAGCAATGGCGAAGTAAGGAGTCCCAAAACGGTTGCAACGCTGGAAGAACCGAGGTGCATGCCCATCGCAGCTCAAACCGAAGAGGGTACGTGAGGCGATGAAGATACATGCCGAGCCACTGCTGATGGCTGATGTACAGACGACGGCGTTAATGATGGACGGCACTGTAGAAACTCCAGATCGCTGAAAGGCAATGACGAATGGTGACTGTTGGGCTGTACCGGTAGAGATTTGCAGAGCCGGGTCATTGAATGGTCTTAAACGCAGTCAGCATCCACCTCGGCACGAGAAGATGAAGAGAGTGTTGGCTTACACGATCAACCCGACGATGAAGATACTGCAAAAGTAAAAGAAGAAGATTCTATAAAACGTCTTCTTTGTCGCAGACGGGATCATCTTTCTCGGATCTTGTGTTTCTGACCCAGAAATAGCGACGATCTGTATGTTTCCAAAACTGAAAGCTGCGGGAAGCATCGACTTCCAGAAGGCAAGGAAGTGACCAGCAGCGCCAGTTTTGATGTAAGCGTTGAAAACACCTGGATTGATCCAATATCGGAATCCGATTCGTTCTCCATGAGGAGCGCCTCCGAGATCGATGACCAGACCGCCGATGATGAGGCCTATGATAAGCATGATCTTGAGGGCGGCAAAGAAAACCTCGGACTATGCTCTCGTCAATATTGATTCAGTGGTGGATTTGCAGATCGGGGCACACACCTCTCCGTAAAGCCGCACTCCGAGTAGGTTAAGGGCGATGATGAAGACGAGAAAGACGGTGATCCAAACGCCCGGGTTGACTGAAGTATTCCAAAACTGTATGACGGTCGCAGCAGCGCTGATTTCGGCGGGGATAGTAATCGCCATCGTATACCCTTGGCTGTGAGTACAATCCTCGTATGGTCTGGCAAACCCACTTACAGAAGTTCCATCCAGTTGCCGCACCCAAAGCCGGTTCGACGAAAGCGGTGGCATGTCTAATGAAGCCACCAGTCTCGGGCATGAAGGCCGTGATCTCTCCGGTGGTGTACGCAACGCCGGCGGTAACAAAGCCCATGATGGTATAGGCGAGTAGTGCACCAACAGGTCCGGCTGTAGCGATGACTCGGCCTGAGCCAAGGAAAAGCCCAGTTCCCTGCTACCTGTCAATAAAAAACGTCTCGATCCTCAGGCAGGCTACTCACAATCATACCCGCCAAGGCAATCATGTTGATGTGGCGAGAGCCCAAGTCACGCTTCAGCCCGCCAGTGTTTACAACTTCAGAGCTTTCTGCACACATCTCGACATCTGGGGACTTGGAGGGATTGGTCCCCTGCTTCTCGCCTTTGCTCAGTGTCATAGTGGTGCGCCACAACAATGTAGCATGAATGATGGATGGAAGAATGATGAATAGAGGTTGATGTTGGCGGTTCAAGTTGATGTGCTCGACTGTTGACAGAGCAGAGTCAAGGCTAGGGGAAGTCCAGCTTCCGGCACCTAATATACTTGGTGCCACTATCCAATCCAGATTGTCGTTCACCAAGAACCAAACATCCAATCCTTATCTCTCGGCTCTAGGAGCGTTTTACCCCGCAAGACCATAATCGGGCTATTCCATTTGATCGCAAGACAGGGGGTTAGAACACCGGTACCGGTGTTCAAAAACACGCTTGAGTCGCCGGTCGGCAATCTTCCGACAATTCGACCCAGGGTCGGCCCCAACACAGGTCTATCATCTACCAACTAACACAAGCATTCGCACACAAAAGAACTGCTGTTGAATCATCTCATTTATCGTTATCTTTGGGCTGACTTCAAACTGTGCCTTGTCTTTTTTCCTCCTACAAACAAGCTTCTGATAATAAACGAATGAACATGTCTCCCAACGCAACACAGGATGATGCCTTCGAGCTTTTCGATCTGCGCGTCGAGGTCGTTTGTCCTCCTGGCAAGAAAGTCTTGTGTGGTGCAAAAGAAGGCGATCACTTCACCTTAAAGGGCGAGATGCTTCACCTGCCGCCCAACCAAGGAATCAGCATTTACAGTCTTGGTGAGTAAAGCATCCTCTAAACGCCTAGCCGAAAGTGACTGATGTGATTTACAACAGCATCTGTGCTGTCTCTTTTGCCTGCGAAGCAGAGACCGACTTCTCAGAACGACTGGATGACTACCGACGCACTCATTGCGTGTCCCGATCCGAACTGCCCCTCACAGCTGAGAATCGTGAGAGAAGGAATCAGGACCTTCAGCCACGCCGAGACAACAGTAGTGCCGCTTGGGTAATCGGGAGATTGATGACGGGACTTGAGGCAACTGAAGTTACGTAGTCGCAGTACATGAGGGAATAAAAACTTCGTCTTGTGTCATCAGCCCCATGGAGGCAAACAGTTCCGACCAGACCTGATCACCGTCGAAAGAAAAGTCCAGACTTCCCTGCAGCACAGATATCTCTGAAGTGGTGGGATCCAAAGAATATAAAGGATTGTCATTGGGGAACAGCTGTGAGGCCAGATCCGGTTCGCCTCCAAGAGCTTCGCCGTCTTGAAGTGCGACTGGACACGGAGGGTCACTTGCACTGCCGAAATGGGACAAGCTGCGCCCGGATCGGTGCTGGAGAAGCTTAGCGGCAACTTTTGTTAGGAATCTCGCCTGGAGGGCGCAGCTACAGTTGGTCGTGCCCGACTGCTTGGAGAATACCTCAGCGGCGCCCTGGATGGCCTGAATTGTGTCACATTCGACTTGTTCAGTGACCGAGCTTGGTACTGAAAGGAGTATCTAGATATAAAAATCAGCGACGAGCAGAAAGGTAGACTGGTACTCTGGGGACAGTATGACCTTGACTAAAAAGGCAGCGCTATACGCAGTCATGACGTGAATCGAGTCTTGAGCAAAGTACAGGTGAGCCGAGTAGTGCGAGATCAAGTGCAGCATACTCATGGCGCTCCTGTAGGCAACCCATATTGTATCAAGGTGCAGTGTCACATCGGATTCGCCCGACCCTAGCATCCCCTGCAAGGGCAGAGAGTGAAGCTGCAGCCGAAGATGGGTGCCGTAAAAGCGAATCAAGAACTGGTGGCAGCTTTGCTCCTCTGTCTCGCTCTTGGTTCCGATAGCCTGGGCCCAGCGGTTCTCCCATCTGTCGATCCGGCCACTCAACAGGCTAATGAGACGCTTGACGTCGTTCCCTGTGGGTTTGGGACGGTGAGGCCGCGGTATAAGTAATGTGAAGGCAGCAGACGTTACTAGCCGAAGGGTGACGAAGGAGCCGAGAAGGAGGTCGTTATCACTGGCCATGGGGTCGCTGGACCAGGCTTCAATTGACTCCATGAAGTCATCGCATTCGATCATCCAAGGCTTCCCGGTCTGGAGACTTATACTAGAAGACTGTTAGGTCTAGAGGGAGTCTAGGCTTTAGTGGGAGGCTTAGCGTACCTTCGATCGTAAACAAAAAGAACGTACCAGGTTCTTTCGATGTTCCGCAAGACCCTCCTTGTCGATTCCGTCCCTAAGGCCTGCCGTTGGGGAGAGTACGGCGTTAATCTGTGCCATCCCATATCAAAACACAAGCGGATTGCATGCCCAACTGACGTCCAGACCCGACTATCTTGCGGCTCCTTCCAGTATGTAAGGATCAGGATCGCTTGTACGGTTTCAGTGGATTTAGTGCCGCGACGGAAGCTTTTTGTAAACAAGTCTTGAACGTGGTCATAGAGCTTCCCGTAGATAACAGGGTTGAAAGCCTTTGCCGACATGGTTAAGATAGCACTGAACAAGAATGCGGATTTCTGTCGGACAAGCGGAAAGGTATGGAGGATTGGATCCAGCTGGCAGATGTATGGATTCAGAACAATCATGAAGCTGAATAGAAATCAGACGATAGGTATCTTTTTCGGGGGCAGATCTGAGCAAACCTGTCAAAAAGCGACTTGGCAACTGAAGAATTGACGAGCCCAAGGTGAATGGGGTCTTCATCTGGGTCAGGAAGATCGGCCAAAGGCTCGTCTGGCTCATCGCTTGCACTGAGGATATTCCGGAGAGAGAACCTCCCCTTGACTGCTTCAATGTTCAACAAGCCTGACGGCTGTAAGTTGTTCTTTTCTTCCGGGACCGGCGAGCCATCATCTGCCACCTGATCTGGGCTGAGAGAAGATGCAGCCACCGCTGATGTTCGCCTCAGCCTGGAGACCCTGGAAGGTCAGTGATTGGGTTGATTCGGATATTGGGAGTTGGCTCCTGACCTTGTGCCTGGTTTGCGCCCTCGATGGTGCTTCCTGAAAACGCAATCGAGGGACTTGCGCGCGCAACGGTCGCACTTGACTGTCCCCGGGCTGCCGGGGCAGCACTTCATCTTGACCTTGCGGCAGGCGAGACAGGCATTAGTGCTCTGCATGGTTGTATGTGTCGTTGAAAATCGGGAGGACTGCGAGTCAATCGTCGCCGGGGAGGAATGGAGAGTCGCTAGCCCCTGTTGGTAGCGTACCTGGAGAGGATCACGTGCCGCAGCTTATCTGGGGATGTTGATGCTTCTGGAGAAAGGGTTGTTATCTGGTGGGGAATATGCAGACTCCCGAAAGTTGACAGACAAGCAATGGTGGTAACTATGGGGTACGGGCCGTGCAATTCTAATGCTACCATCCCCACAGATCACAGCTGCCCGTCAATCAATCTCACATGTTACCTGCTTTCTGCCAAGTCAATGAGTGAGGCATCGACATGGGTTCGTGTTGGACCAGGGGCGCTAACTAGTTGGTATGTTGGAGTGGAGTTTGACCGGCGTCTTACGTCTTGCATTGACTGGCCTTGAATGCCGGTGGCCCTGCCTAGAACGCCGGTCCGCTCGTGGCACTAGGCTCAAGTATCAGATGCCAGCTCTTGATAAAGAATCCATGTCGAGCTTGGGCTCTTGGCTTATCAACAACACCCCTCAGCGCCTTTTCTTGGATACCAAGCTCAGCCAGTCATCAACCCAACTCACTAACATCATCATGGCAGTTACTAAGAAAAGAGGAGCCGCCGCCGCTCATGTCAACATGATGACCGACACCATCATAGCCAATCTTCCAGCAGATGGCCTGCGGGTCGTGATGCGGTCTCTGCTTGCATCTTGTCCAGAAGTCACGGGGACTTTCGAGCATGAAACGCGACGTTTTCTCGGACATGCAGCCGAAACATCTGCCAGAACCAAGATTGACACTGTTGATATCGGCGGATTGAAGCAGGCTCAACAGATCGTTCGCTGCATGCTTGGCTCTGGTGTCCCATTTCAGAGTATCCCTTTGCTCAAAGACATGGTAGCCCGAGGAGCGGAGTTGGCACTGAATTCATCTGTCGACAGTGAGCTTGAGAGCTTCCTCGCATCTGTTGATAGTGACATCGTTCAGTCCATGACAGCAGTCAAGAAGACACTCTTTACCAACACCGGCGTTCGGGCAATGTCGACCACGGAGTATGCACATATCGAAACTCTCTTTGAATCCCTCGTCCGTTGCCAGGATATCCTACAGTCTACAGGAAAAGAGTACCCTTACGACCGAGGTTTGGTAACAACAGCCAGTACCCTTGGCATCCCTCCGCCGGCAGCACAACATGCTGCTTCCAATGGAAAAGCACGACAACAACCATTGCCCGGGAAAGCCAAAGAGACTTTCGTGCTAGGGGATAGAACCCTTCCTAGAATTTTTTCCGGGCTGTGGCAAATGTCAAGCGCTGCTTGGGGCTCAGCTCCAACCTCTAGGATTGTTGAGCAGTTCTCTACACATGTTCAAAGCGGTTTCACTGCATTCGACATGGCGGATCACTACGGTGACGCTGAGGTGATATTTGTAAGCTGCTTCAGCCCCATTCCTCGCCATTGCAGCACGCTCACAACGGTAGGGACGCTTCCGATCCTTGTACCCTCACAAGGATGCCATCTTTACCGCTACAAAGTATTGCATCTTCCATCATGTCGACATCACTCGTGAGGCCGTGCAAGCCAACGTCAGCGAACGGTGCCAGAGGTTACAGCAAGACAAGATCGACTTGCTCCAATTTCACTGGCAGTTTGTAAGTAGAGTGAGAATCCTGCGAGTACTTTGCTAACAGAGTATGCAGTGGGATAATCCAGGGTACTTGGATGCCCTTCGTTATCTCATGGAAGATGAGCGGGTCGGTATGATTGGCTTGTGCAACTTCAACACCGAGCATCTGCTACGAACTATTGAGAGTGGAGTGCATGTGCACACAAATCAGGTTCAGGTCGGTGCTCCGTCTTGCGTGGTGTGGTTGGACGACACATAATAACCCCATCTACAGTTCTCCCTGATTGATTCACGCCCAAACGAAAGGATGGGAGAAGTTTGCCAGCTCCACGGTATCAAGCTGCTGACCTATGGGACCTTGGTCAGTAGTTCTCCCACTTGTGTAGCAGTCGTGACTGACATCATGGTCCAGTGTGGGGGGTTTCTCGCGGAGAAGTGGCTGGCCAAGCCTGAACCAGATGTTTATAGCGCCTCCATCACACCAAGCCAGCGAAAGGTACAGCTCACACTATTACAAAGAGTTTCGACTGCTAACAAGGGTTCGAATAGTATTATGGAATCATTTGCAGCTGGGGCGGCTGGGAACTGTTTCAACGGTTGCTCCGGACCTTGGATGGCATCGCGAAGAAGCACGGCGTGAACGTCTCCAATGTTGCAACCCGATGGGTGCTGGATTTCCCCTACGTTGGTGCGGTCATTATTGGCGCGCGAATGGGAGTGAGTGAGCATACGAATGACAACCAGGCCACTTTTGGTTGGAGTCTGGATGACAAAGATCGGGCAGCTATTGAGCAAGTGTTAGAGGAAAGCAATCGGAAAGAGGTATTTCACACAATGGGTGACTGTGGTGGGGAGTACCGAACTATTGGTTAGGGGTATTTGTTATATATATTTATGTATATATATCAGCCGTTAAAGACACATGCAACCTGGCAGGAAAGTCAGGAGCCAAATAGAGCCTTGAGCATGTCACGTATTCAGACATGGATTACTTTCTGGTTATCCAAGCCAGCCAGATGAAACGGATGGGATGGATTAAGGATCGGCTTTCGCGAAAGACGCTTAAAACGAAGGGATGCTCCTTTGAAGTAGAGCATGTGCTTAATGCGTCTCTTAAGTTGCATCTCCTTATATAAGTCTTAAGGTAAGCTATAATTAGCTCCTAGAAATTCAACTCTACCCCTATATTTAAATTAACTCTACCTGTTATAAAGTAGGGTAGAAAAAACACTTCTATTATACTTAATATTATTATTAACTGCTAGGACTTAGCTAGCTATAAGGGGTATTTAATAAATAGCAGCACCTTTTTATATATATGCCTTATAAATAAGTTTATTTTTCTTATATATAATACGGGTTATAAAGAAGCTATAAATAAAAAAGGCTAGAATAAGAAGAGGCTTATAATTAAGTAAAAAGTATTTATTAATATAAAAGAAGCATAGAGATATATATATAATATAAAGGAGATAAATAATAATAAAAAGAGTTATATAAGAGGGTATTATCTTAATTATAAAATAAGGTTTTAATTAATATATAAATTAAAGAGGTTTTATAAGCCTAGGTAAGATAAATAAGTATAATAAAATTATAATATAATATAATATAAACTAATATAAACTAATATTAAAGTTATTATTAAAGTTATTATTATTTATATATTTATGAATAATTTAGTATATTGCTACCCTAGAGTGGGGATCATACTATCTTAATTAAATCTCAGTAATTTCAACAATGGGGCGCCGTTATCGCATCGGGGAAAATTGCCTATCTAGGAAGGTGGAAAACCTCGGTCGGAATTAAACCACCTCCTCAATTGGCTCCAAAACCCCTCGCCGGCTGGGCTCAGTAAGGTGACTTAAATCAGTAAGGTTTATCACATGCCACGTGACACCTTGCACATTTCCTCCAGTTATATATATGCCTCGCCGGGCCCTGCCTTGTGGCATAGATTGGGTGATCGTCTCGGTCGGTGGTCGGTCACGTGACCTAAACACGTGACTCGGGGTCGGGTCGTCGTCGTGTGCGCTCCCTCGGTGGGGTCGGGACTCGGGGCTCGGGTCGGTCGGCTATAGGGTAGGTGGAGTCGGCTAGGTGGGTCTCGTAGCGGCGGTCGGTAATTTCAACGGTAATTTCAATAGGGTCGCTGACATAATCAGCAGCCGATGGCGCAGTGGCCACGGGCCTCAGTTAACGTGTGGGTCACGGGTTCAATCCCCGGCCTGCGTGACTTTTTGCAAAGGTCATACAGGGTAGGGAAAAGGGTCCTCCGGCTGGGCTCGAACCAGTAGCCTCCTTCTTGCGAAGGTGACCATAGCCAAGGTGCAGGAACCACTGCACCACGGAGGGATTTATATATTTATATAAGCCGATATTTATATATTATATATTTAATTATATAGGTTTAATTAATTAAACCTATAGGCTTTTATTTATTACTAAGTTTTAATTTAGCGCTAAGCCTTAATACTAATACTTTTTAGGTTTATAAAACTCTATTATTAATTCTAAGAATTAATCCCTTTAAGTAAACCTATAATACTAATAAGTTAGGGGAAAAGCATGCTAAGCCATTTTGGGCTACTAAGTAATTTCTTATATATAGAAAAAGGAGGTAGAGGTCATAGAGCCTTACCTTTATTATTACTTCGCGGGCCTTAATTAAAGGACTTTTAGGCTTTTTCGCGGGTTATATCTTTATTACTATGAATTAATTAATTACTCTTATTATTTTATATTATATTTGCCTTATAAGAAAATATATAAGATCTCTCTTTTAAAAAGACCTTAAAAAGAATATATAGAAATTTAATTCCTTAGGCTATATAGTTTAGTATATTTTATTTCTCTAATAAAATACTTAATTAAATAAAAAGATTACCCTAAATCTAAGAATACTTAGGAACCCCTAGAATATTTTATAAACTTATAATACCTATTAAAAGAATTTTATTAAGTAAAGAAAAATTAAATATAATACTCTAATTAATAATATCTAATACCCCTATAACCTATATATTAGCTATTATATATACTTCTAGCTAATTAAATAACTCTAATTCCTCTATAGATAATAACCCCTTATTTAATATCTCTATACTTTACTCTTAAAAAAAGTACTTTTAATAATAAAAATATATTAGATAAGAAAGATACTTATTTAATTATTATTATAAGGTAATTAGCTCTTCTTTAGTTTTCTTTTCTTTTAATTTAAGGTAATATTTCTTTATAATAAATTAATTTATTATTATAAAATTAGCTATATATAAAATTACTATAATACAGTATTTCTCTTACCCTATTAAACTAATATGCCCTTCCTATTATAAGAATAACCCCTATAAGTAAATTTAAAATACTTAAAATAACCTTCTTTTATAACGCAACGAAGTTTCTATAGTATATAATAAAAATAAGATATAATATTAAAACCTATTTTAGCGATTAAAATAGCCTAGGTTTTTTTATAATATATAGCGCGAGATTATAATATAATTAAGAATAATTAGGAATTTTTATAAAACTAAGTTTACTTATTATTAGCGGAAAAATAAGGCCTATAAAAATAGTCTTAAGGATAAGAATTAATAAAAGAGGGAAGATTATATTACGGCCTAATATAGTCCTTATTATATACCTAAAAACTTCCCTATAAAATACCTTTTAATCTTAGCTAACTAAAGGTAATCTTATACTTTAAAGAATAATTTTATACCGCGAGATTTATTCTTATATTATAATACTCTCTTAGTAACTATAAGATACTTATATATATATATAATATTTATTATACCTTAAATAGATACTTAGCCCTTAAGCTATTAATAGACTTTAATTACCTTTAAGACTTTCTTAACCTATTACTAAGATATAATTACCTTATTATATATTAATATTAAGACTCCCTATTAATAATAAACCTAGTATACCTAGTTTATTCCCTTAGAAAATACTAGATATTATACCTATTAGTAAGAAGAAAAAATTCCTCTTATCTATACTATTAATTAATAGGAGCTATATAGGCGAGGCTATTATAAATAATATTAAGGAGATTATTAAGAAATTTAGCCTTAAGAAGCGCATAGGCTATTTTATCTTAGATAATACTAAAATAATAATATAGGTATAGAGATACTTAGATAAATATTTAGCTTTAATCTTAGTAAATACCAGCTATATTATATAGCCTATATTATTAATCTTATAGCTATATAGATTATATATAATAAAGATCTAAGAGTCTTTAAGACTAAGGGTAATATTCCTCGCGCCCTCTAGGATAACCTCGAGCTTTAGTAGCGCAAAGGCGCCCTAAGTAAGCTCTATAATATTATTATATAGATTACTAATAGATATATTAGTAGCGATTATACTAGAGAATTTAAATTATTATAAATTAAATCTTAAAATTATCTTCTAAATAATAAGCCTTATTAACCCCTTATTAAGCTAAAATAACTAAATAATACTTAATAGAATTTATATTATTATACCTTTGAGATAATTATTTTTAATTAAGCCCTAATTAATACCTATTCTAAGAAAGAAAAGCGCGCTTATAATATATATCTTAAGCGAGTTATATAGAAAAATAAATAACTAATAATAAATAAATATATTATATTTTTAGTTAAACCCTTAATTATAAAAAATAAGATATTAATTAAGGATTAAGTTATAATTATAAGGTATATAGAGATATTAAAACTATTAATATTAATTATAAAGAAACTTAAAGGGTATTTATAATAAGGCTAAAATAGCCTTATATAAGAGGTATTACCTTATTATAAGTTTCTCTTAAATTATCTAGAGCGCCTAATAAAGTAATATAAGTATAACCTAGATAAAGACCTTAAGCTAAATATCTAGCTAGGATAATAAAAGCTAAATAAGTATTATATAAAGCTTAATAATACTAAAGTCTATATAGCTATTATAACCCTTTACCTCTAACTCTAATTAATAAAAATTAAATAATTATAAGCTAATTAAGTAAATAATAGCTAGATCTATAGGGTAAAATAATAACTTTATAACCTCTAGTAATAATATAAGGATCTATTACTTCTAGAGTAGCCTTATCTAGAAATAAAGGATAATATCCTAGATAAGATTTTTAATATAACTTAGTTTCCTTCTAAAGAGGATTTATTTAGGCTAATAATATAGCTTAATAAGAAGCTAACCTAATTATTATTACTATTAAATAAAATAGATAAATTCTAAGGTATAATTAATACCTCTTTTATAAACTAAAGGGATTTAATTTTATTTTAGGTATATAATAGACCCTACTAGCCTTAGTTTATATAAATAATACTTAATATTTATAATATCTTATTAATAAAAATAAATAATAAGTAATTATATAATAGGATAGGGGATATAATAATAAAGAAAAAGAATTAATTATTAATAGCTATAATTAAAGCTATTTAATATCTCTAATAATAAGATAAGGATAAGATAATTATTTAGAGATTATAATAGATATATTTAATACTAAGGACTAATTAAGTTTAATTAATAGTTATAATAGCTTTATAATTAATATTATTATTATTATTACTTATTTATGCCCTATAAAGTCTTTTAAGCTTTCTTTTTTATATATAATTTTCTTACTTAATATAATTCTTAATACTTAATATAATATAGATTAAGTATTAATATAATAATATTAGAATTTTATTATTATATTAAGTTTTAATTCGACTCTTAATATTAGTCTAATTATAGTAGGCAGTCTAGTCTAAGGCCTTTAGATTACTAGGCGGTCTAGTCTAGTGCTTCTAGATATATAGGCGGTCTAGTCTAGATACCCTGAATTGGACTGGACTGCCTATTTCTCACACTGGTCGCCACTGCATCCAAGATGGTGCACTCAACATCACAATCGCCACGTCCTTGCTTAGATAACTCCGCCGAAAAACGCAGGCAAACCTCGTCTGAATCCGGTCAGGACAGCGCTCTAGCCACAGAAACAGCCATCAACATGGTGCTTGCCTCGCGACCGACCGGCTCCAAGGCCGATCCACAGCCTCTAGAAGGAGCCGCCGTCCCATCAAAGACGATCCAGTCAACTTCAGCACCGCCGGATGCTCCCTTAGAAAATTGCATTCAAAAGAGCAGGCACAACTCATCTGAACCCCCCGATGAGAGTACTCTTGCAACGGAGCCATCCGTCAGCTTGGAGGCCGTCTCTCAACCAACAAGTTTTGAGACAGAGCCACTCTCCCCAACAACGGAGACCCCTTTGTTAGAGACGGATACTATTCACCTATGAGAATGGATGAAGATGGGCCATCAACGATGGAATTTTCCGTACCTCGCAACTTGATTTATGTAGCGCACGTAAAACGCGCAATGTTCGACTAGACGACGGCATATCTACAAAATCTTTAATTAACCTCCATATCCTTGAGCTTTCCGAAGGCCATATGGGGGAAGGAAACGCCAGCAATCTACCTGCCGCTGGCTCGGCTGCCAGCCGCACAGGCCCCCACAAGTAATCACCTTGCCAATCTCGAGCGTGTGTAGGCACGCGCCCGTTGCCGCAGCCTCCCTTGTCTCCCCCGAAGTAGCGAGGGTTATTAACTTCTCACGAAGCAAAGTATAACTTTAGTAACGCCCCTCTCTGGTTAACTAGCTCGCTTTCGGTTTTTACGTTTAACGCTGGATATTGTTCACTGTTGACAGAGGTGCCTTGAGAAAAGGGTATCGAGAGCATTCTTACAATGACCTAAAAGGGGGTCCCCTAGGTTCAAATTGTACAGTTAAGCCCGCTCAACGTAGGCAACCGTCTCCCTACGGACATGGGGACCTTCCCCATAGTCACTATCTCCTAACGATGGGCACTCATGCCACGGGCTGGACATAGTAGTTTCACCCTCAACGGTACATGCTTCATAGTGTTGCATTCCGCCTTCCGGACCAGCCAATTGATGTGTCGAGCTTGACTCGTCGGCTTCTTGGGTTCTTATGATTGTCGTAAGATTGATGGCTTTCGAGTGATCTTGGTGACCAATGGTTTGGTTATAGATGTGCGAGCTTAGGAATGAGCCCGGAAGGAGTTTGCGGAAAAGAGGTCGGAGCATTGGAACGGAAGCTATGACAACTTATTAGTGAGATGCAGAGGAACTTAGGCTCCTTGACAGTTACAAGAAACAATAGCGAGGTTGACTTCAACTACGGCCCAAACCATGCTCATCGCCACGTCTAAAGGCATCTCGGTTGATGTGGCATCAGCCCTCAAAACCTCTATAAGGACAAAAATAGATGCAATGCAAACCCTGAAGACCACTTAGCCACAATCACTTAACTCCCAAGTAGATCCCACTTACAGGACACCAACCATAAAAAGAGCAATAATGGCAATTTTCTGGCCATACCGAAGGCGTAGTTTCCCAATCTGGACCGCCGGAAGAACCAGAATGAGGACATCAAGCACAGCATGCGTCAATACCGTTGCAAACGAGAACGCGGACTCATTAACAGTGCATTTTGAACCTTTGCTCGAGATATCCCAGAAAGCTTGAATCGGCACGCACTGGAATATCGTGATACAGACTCGCATGATGAGCCAGACGATGGATGCCCCCAGCAATATTTGAATCGGTATGCGGATGCTGGAGAACTTAAAAACTCTCCAGTAGAACATCAAGATGGTGAGTTGGGACAAGACAATCGAGAAGGAGTAGGATATCTCCGAGCAGAATAGCATCAGCCGTGACTTTTCGAGGGTCGCAGTAGCGGTTAGGTTTTTCGGACCGTCCTCGAGGGGTCGGCCAAGCCCATAGTAGAGAGTCCCTATCCGGCCTTGTCAGAGATTGACGAACAGAATCAGACAGACGCTGTCCGAACGTACATATCAACGTAATAGTTGAAAATGCCACTGCGCCGGCCTGCAGAGCCGGGTTAGCAAGCAATAGTGGCGCGAGTCTGAAGTGAGACCTTACAAAGGCAAGTATAGCTAATCCATCATCATAACCATAGCCGGCTTTGGTCATAGGCCGTGCGGTAAGTCGGAGGATCACCGCAAGAGTGGCAAAGGGCAGAGTCACACAGACTGAGGCGTAGACACTGGCAGTGCGATCCTTCATGCTTGTTTTAATGAGACACTAAGCCGTCAAAGGTGCTGGTCCCACAAAGAGGAGACAGTTGATCGGAAGAGAAACATCAACAGGCCAGGTGGGCGGGGCAAAGCATGAAGAGTTGCAAAGGCGGCAACGCCTCTGAATGCCTGGCCCCCAGGATTGTTGGCCTGGCGCAAATGGCTCGACACTCACAACGGGAGGTGTAGCATTCATTGAAAACCTTGTCCGCATAAAGAAGCGGGGAAGCAGTGCTAGCAATAAAGTGCAACGATCAGTCATAGTAGCCGGCACCTATACCGCTACGCCACAGGGCAAAAGATTGGACCTTGATCGCAATTGTGGCAATCAAGCAGGTGCACCAGCTGCTTTATGAAGCCTATCGCCTAGGGGGACCAAGCCGTAACATAGCTGGTCAGGTATCTGTTTCTGTAAGTGTACTAATCTCTGCTGTTTCCATGTGCTAATCGATCTTCTAAGGCCAGGACTGTCAAACTCCCTTATAGGATTACTCTCAACCCTTAGTAACATCCTGACCACGCAAGGCGGACATGTCTCTGTGACTGCGAAGATCGCCATTTACGTTATTTCAGCGATCTGTGGAAGCATGCCGTGTTTGTGCTTTGTATATAGCTGGCTTCTACATAAGATCATCACGGTTCATGATAGAGAGCCTGAAAAATCCGAGGAGCAGGGGGCATAAGACTGCGGAGGTCTATGGCTTGGTAAATGACGAGAGTGGTATATTTCGCATGGCGCCGGACGGGTAATAACTCCTTAGCTAGTCTTCCTGAATTTGGCCTATAATTAAGTGAAGGATCTTTCATGTCAAGAAAACTCACTTGCACGAGTTCGTTGAGCTCCTTTTCCCTCGTGATATAACCGGCCTTTGCCGCTTCAGCAAGGTTTAGGACATAGTGATGAATTTCGTATTCTACACCCCGTGTCGCACTGGGCGTGCTAAAAGGATCAAGGGTCAGGTAAACGAGAATGAGCAGCAACAATGCGTTGATTGATTATTATCTGAGGTTGTCTCTGGTGCGGGGTACTCCATCCCGCAGAGTTACTTAAAGCATACGGCTAGATTACTAACGCAGTTGTTTCCTGAGGCCGTGAAGATCATGCCTACCCTGCGACATAAGGCCTTAACAGTCACACCCCCTGAGAACCCCCTAAATAGGGCGCTAACTGTTAGAGTGGGGCGAGTTACGGCTTGGAGCCTCATGCGCACTCAGGAGATAGCAATGGCGTATCTAACAGTTATTCGAACGGCCTCTACGTCTGGTCGCCAGTTTTAGGATCTAATATGGCTTTCCCTCTATAGTAAAACGATAGGTTGCCTTATCTTGTGCCAGTATAGTAAAGCATTTGTGCGAGAAGATAACAATGCCATGCATGTGATCGTGTCACCCGCACGCTGACGTAGCATTCCGATCCTATATCGATTCATCTAGCACCCAACCCAGCAGTCAGGCAGATTTATAGGCAGCGAATCTAGAGTGTTATTTTCTCGAGCTTGCAGAAGCTTAAGATACGCTATTATGGGTCATCGTCGTCTGCGTAAGAGAGGTTATCACCCCGTCAGACTTTATGCTATAAGAATATTGGTTTCAACTTGGTGTTAGCCCATCGGCACTAGAGTATTCCAGACCATGAACTAGTCTCGGGACCTTTTGGCGCTGGGTGACGCTGGTAACTTTCCAATACCGAGAGAGAACTTCTAGAAGTGATGAATCTATTTGCGGTAGACTTTAAGAGTCCTGTATCATGTTCACGACAGCTATGGCATGTCATTGCTCGTCATATAGGTTTTTCAACCAGAGACCCAGTCCAGTCACGCATCACGACCCGCTCAACGGCCGAGGACGATTAACAAAAATCTTTTTTCCTTGCACTTTCAGGAAATATAGCATTCAAGGGCGAAGATTCAAGGGCGAAAGGACCCAGGGATCTACCATCCAGGACCACCTAATGCATAGCCCCACCTAATACATCACCAAAATTTCGATCCTCCCATATAAAATCTGAATTTTCAATAATATCGTATTCGCTCTAGAGTAAAGTTACTCATAAAGTAAGACCTATACTATATTACTTTTTCCGTAGAAACTTAATATCAGGTTCGTTTTTTTCCCGTTCCGCGGCGCGGCTTAGTTCTCTACCCCTTTGAAAAATTATTATTTTTACCTTATCTACTCTATGCAACTATATACACTTAAGTAGGCATATCGCCTAGTTTACGCGGTGGAACCCTTGCCATAATAGTTTAATATATTTATACTAAAGACGATATAGCTAAGGCTATATTCGATATTACTAATAGAGGCCTATCGTAGACTAAGGCGGCCTAGAAACATAGAGTACCTTAGTAGACTATTTCGAGACGACTTTCCGGTTAAGTAAGCAAGAATAAACATATCTAGGCCCACCTGCGTATTTTAAAGAGCTAAGAGGATACTCTCCTTTATTAAGTACTGCGGTAAGAGTCTCTAGGCTATATTCCCTCTTATAGCTAGCTCTACGCCTATATTAAGGCTATCCTTTAATAATAAGGCAATAATAAACCTTTTAATAAGTATTAGACTATAAGGTTTATTAAATATTACCTATAATTATCTACTAAGCTTAGAAAATATTAAGAAGCTATTAGATTTAATAGATTTACTTTAAAGGTAATTAATTAATACTTTAATATCTAGGAGAATAAATATAGCTAGATTAAGCCTAAGAATATAATTAATATAGATAAGGGCGGTATAATAATAGGTTTTAGTAAGTCTATTATAAATACTCTATAGGCTTTTATAGAGTATAGCTAATTAATTATCTATAAGGCCTAGATAGCCTTATAATTAAGAGCTCTAACCTAAAGAAGAAAGCGATATTAAAAGGTATCTAATTGTGACGGTAGTCACAGCTGTGGGCACCTTAGCCACTGCGCCACGGGGCAAAAGATTGGGCCATAATCGCTATTGTAGCAATTACAGAAGGTGCTTCAACTGCCTATAGGGCTTCAATCGCTGCTACGGGGGACCAAGCCGTAACACTAATTATATATATAGACCTTATTTATTAAGGCTATTACTATAATTAGTTACGCTTTAAAACTAGGGATTATCTTTAAAGGAAAAGAGCTATAAAAATAATAGTTTCTTAATAAATTCGAATTAATAATAGACTAATACTATATTATATTACTAAATAGCTAGACTAATAACTATATAGCTCTTAAGTAATTAAAGGATATCTATTTACCTTAAATAAAGCCTTATAATATATTAAATATAAGACTTATTATCTTTAATAATTATAGAAGCTATATATAGGTAAGTCTTTTAGGGTTTTTATTATAAAGTCTCCCATAATAAAGTTACTAATAAGTATCTAAGATAAGTAATGTGACGATTATAGGATTCCTAAGGGATAAATCGGTCGTATTAGTTTATATTAATAGAGGAGAATATTATATAACCTTAAAGGGTAATATAATATTATATCTAGTAATATACTTAAGGTATTAAGTATAACTAAGTTATATTAATACCTAAGGTAGCTATTATATAAGAAAATATAATAAATATATTTTATATATTATTTAGTCTTTAAGTTAAATATAATTAAGTTAAGTTAAGTTATTAATATTTAACTTATATAGTCGAGAGAAATTAAATTAACCTTATTTAATTTATATATCTTTTTCCCTTATAATTAGCTAATATAATAGGGCTAGTTTCTTACCTAGTATTATTACCCTTAATTATATTATAGCTATAATATAAGGCTCCCCCTTTATTAATCTTATCCCTAAGGCTAGCTTTAGAGACTAAATATCGCTATAAATAACTTAGACTTATAATTATTTCCTTTACTAATATAATATTAGGTTATATTAAAAAATTATTTTTTTGCCCTAAATTTACTTTTATACGCCGTAATAACCTTTCTTACTTAATTAATAAATTTAATTTTAAGATACCTTAGTATTCTATATATTTCTATATTAATCGCTATCTATATATAGTAGCTAAAGGGAAATAATATTATAACTTTTATATCGAGAAGAAATATATAAATTATAATTTTAGCGGTATTTCTTTATAAGCCTATAGGTTATTATTTTCCTTAATAATAAGTATATATTAATATATTTTAATTATTTATATTTCTTAGGAGAAGGATTATCTTAAAGAATAAAAAGAAAAGGCTAAGGTAAACCTTCTAGAGGCCTTATCTCGCTTATAGTAGCTTTATTATTAAGAGAAATATCTTTATAAGAAGGCTATTAAGATAATCTATTATAGTTATAAGGACTTAGATAAGCTAGATAAGGCAGAGTATTATAATAAGGAGGCTTATTATAATTTAGAGGCTTAGGCCTTATCTAAGGTTTAATTACTAGAAGATTATAGAGTTATTAATTAGAGTATTATTCTTAAGTCTATTTTATTTAGTATTTAGTATTATTAATAAAAGTTCTTTAGAAGGTATTATATATTAATAAGGTATTTTAGGGGTTTTTATATATTTTCTAAGTTAAGGTAATCTTTTTATTTAATAAAATATATTATTTTATTATTAATTTTATTCATATTAAGGATAGCTTTTATAATATATTCTTTTAGTTTATTAATTTTTATATTAGGCTTATTATTTATTTTTACTTAGATAATATCTTATATTAATTTAAGTAATAAAATATAAAAGATTAAATAGAGCTTAATCTTAGGTAATAAATCTAATTTATAGTTATATTTTAAGATTTTTTTTTTAATTTTATATAACGTGGTTAATAAGTAAGTAGGTCAGACAAATAAGTAAGTCAAAAAACCCTCAACCTACTACATTTCTATTTAATCAAATACTTTACAACCACCCAATATATCACAGACTTCAAATAAGGCTAAAATCCTTCTTACACTTCAAGCCCTTCAAAATAACCCAAACCTAAGTCTCCGACGCACAGCAACTACATACCGCATCCCCTTCGAGACCTTACATCGCCGCCACCA